CAGGAGAGGACTCTTTAAAGTAGAGACACTACATACTGATATACACCTGAACATCAGCAGGAGAGGACTCTTTAAAGTAGTGACACTACATACTGATATACACCTGAACATCAGCAGAAGAGGACTCTTTAAAGTAGAGACACTACATACTGATATACACCTGAACATCAGCAGGAGAGGACTCTTTAAAGCAGAGACACTACATACTGATATAAACCTGAACATCAGCAGGAGAGGACTCTTTAAAGTAGAGACACTACATACTGATATACACCTGAACATCAGCAGGAGAGGACTCTTTAAAGTAGAGACACTACATACTGATATACACCTGAACATCAGCAGGAGAGGACTCTTTAAAGTAGAGACACTACATACTGATATACACCTGAACATCAGCAGGAGAGGACTCTTTAAAGCAGAGACACTACATACTGATATAAACCTGAACATCAACAGGAGAGGACTCTTTAAAGTAGAGACACTACACACTGATATACACCTGAATATCATCAGGAGAGGACTCTTTAAAGTAGAGACACTACATACTGATATACAACTGAACATCAGCAGGAGAGGACTCTTTAAAGTAGAGACACTACATACTGATATACACCTGAACATCAGCAGGAGAGGACTCTTTAAAGTAAAGACACTACATACTGATATACACCTGAACATCAGCAGGAGAGGACTCTTTAAAGTAGAGACACTACATACTGATATACACCTGAACATCAGCAGGAGAGGACTCTTTAAAGTAGAGACACTACATTCTGATATACACCTGAACATCAGCAGGAGAGGACTCTTTAAAGTAGAGACACTACATACTGATATACACCTGAACATCAGCAGGAGAGGACTCTTTAAAGTAGAGACACTACATACTGATATACAGCTGAACATCAGCAGGAGAGGACTCTTTAAAGTAGAGACACTACATACTGATATACACCTGAACATCAGCAGGAGAGGACTCTTTAAAGTAGAGACACTACATACTGATATACACCTGAACATCAGCAGGAGAGGACTCTTTAAAGTAGAGACACTACATACTGATATACACCTGAACATCAGCAGGAGAGGACTCTTTAAAGTAGAAACACTACATACTGATATACACCTGAACATCAGCAGGAGAGGACTCTTTAAAGTAGAGACACTACATACTGATATACAGCTGAACATCAGCAGGAGAGGACTCTTTAAAGTAGAGACACTACATACTGATATACACCTGAACATCAGCAGGAGAGGACTCTTTAAAGTAGAGACACTACATACTGATATACACCTGAACATCAGCAGGAGAGGACTCTTTAAAGTAGAGACACTACATACTGATATACACCTGAACATCAGCAGGAGAGGACTCTTTAAAGTAGAGACACTACATACTGATATACACCTGAACATCAGCAGGAGAGGACTCTTTAAAGTAGAGACACTACATACTGATATACACCTGAACATCAGCAGGAGAGGACTCTTTAAAGTAGAGACACTACATACTGATATACACCTGAACATCAGCAGGAGAGGACTCTTTAAAGTAAAGACACTACATACTGATATACACCTGAACATCAGCAGGAGAGGACTCTTTAAAGTAGAGACACTACATACTGATATACACCTGAACATCAGCAGGAGAGGACTCTTTAAAGTAGAGACACTACATTCTGATATACACCTGAACATCAGCAGGAGAGGACTCTTTAAAGTAGAGACACTACATACTGATATACACCTGAACATCAGCAGGAGAGGACTCTTTAAAGTAGAGACACTACATACTGATATACAGCTGAACATCAGCAGGAGAGGACTCTTTAAAGTAGAGACACTACATACTGATATACACCTGAACATCAGCAGGAGAGGACTCTTTAAAGTAGAGACACTACATACTGATATACACCTGAACATCAGCAGGAGAGGACTCTTTAAAGTAGAGACACTACATACTGATATACACCTGAACATCAGCAGGAGAGGACTCTTTAAAGTAGAAACACTACATACTGATATACACCTGAACATCAGCAGGAGAGGACTCTTTAAAGTAGAGACACTACATACTGATATACAGCTGAACATCAGCAGGAGAGGACTCTTTAAAGTAGAGACACTACATACTGATATACACCTGAACATCAGCAGGAGAGGACTCTTTAAAGTAGAGACACTACATACTGATATACACCTGAACATCAGCAGGAGAGGACTCTTTAAAGTAGAGACACTACATACTGATATACACCTGAACATCAGCAGGAGAGGACTCTTTAAAGTAGAGACACTACATACTGATATACACCTGAACATCAGCAGGAGAGGACTCTTTAAAGTAGAGACACTACATACTGATATACACCTGAACATCAGCAGGAGAGGACTCTTTAAAGTAGAGACACTACATACTGATATACACCTGAACATCAGCAGGAGAGGACTCTTTAAAGTAGAGACACTACATACTGATATACACCTGAACATCAGCAGGAGAGGACTCTTTAAAGTAGAGACACTACATACTGATATACACCTGAACATCAGCAGGAGAGGACTCTTTAAAGTAGAGACACTACATACTGATATACACCTGAACATCAGCAGGAGAGGACTCTTTAAAGTAGAGACACTACATACTGATATGAACCTGAAAGTAGAAAACGAGGAAGAGGAGACTTACGTTCTCGCAGCTCTCGGTGGTGAAGGCTTCACATCGCAGGGCTTCTGGCCACTGGATGTCGTATTTGTTCATCAGGGATTCACAGCCCGACCTGGCCTTCTCGCAGAGCGTCCTGCAGGGAGGCCGACCAGCGCCCGACACACACTTCGGAGTGTAGACGGAGCACAGGAAAGGCTTCAGGTGAGAGGAGCAGCCCACTTGGATGAGAGGGGAATACTTGTTTATCTCCAGGCCGGCCTCCTCCTGAGAGGCGTGGCCCAGGAGGTTCGGCAGCACAGTCTCAGTGTACGTCTGGTCCAGGCACAGAGCCACGGTGATCTCCTCACATGTAGCCGACGATGTTTGAGCGGGGCTGGAGACCTGACCCTACAGGAACAGAAACAAATCAGCGCTGTCCATAAAACCACTTCAAAGGTTTTATTGTCATATGCACATAAGCTAGTGTAGATATGTCAATGACAATCTTAGGTCACAGGCTCCTCCAACAGTGCAACATGAATATATATAGGACATAGAACAAATAAAACAGATACAATAGGATATATACAAGTAAATGGAATATGATATAAGATGCAAACAGATGAATGTTTTCACACTGACCTGCACGCAGTTGTTCTCGGACAGAGTCTCGCAGCGGAGCCTCGACGGCCAGTTGATCCTTTTGGCTTTCAGCGGAGCTTCGCAGTCCGTCTTCACCTTCTCACACAGCGCTCGGCACGGCCTCATCCGAGCGTCCTCCTCCGAGCCGCACTCCGGCACCACGACCCGGCACATGAGCACGGCCACGTTCGGAGAGCACGAAGTCTCCACGATCTGTCCTATCTCCCGCAGGCTGTACCCCGTCGCTCCTGTTGGATGTTGGGTGGTGGAGTACCCCAAACCCTGACAAAAGGCGGAGGTCATGGGCTTGCAGATTGTCCTGCTTTGTGCCCGCAGAGGAACCAGCAGCGAACCCAAAACTACTAAAAACAAACACTCCATGGCTCTCTGAAAGCTCTCAAAACTATGCGCTGCTTCACAAAGACTTCAGAGGTTTAGTGATTTCTTCTTCTCTACTCAGGGGGTGGAGTAGGAGTCCACGAATGGAGCCTCTGCACTGATTTAGGACCCCTACTGAGGTCACAAATCAATGAGATGCTCCACACGTAATGAAAGCTAAACTGGTCTCAGAGCAGCGTTCTGGGGAACATCTGGTTTTGATCGAGTGCTTTCTGAGGAACCTGGGGGCAATAAAGAGTTGCACAAAGGCTGGCACATGACATTTCTGCATGGAAAGTATTTCAACACCAATAAGATTGAGAAATTCTGTGTAAACATGTTGCAATACAAAACAAAGAACTAGGCGTCATGTCCTCTCTGGTTTGTATTTCCATAATAAAGACATTGTGTTGTTTACTGATTCACGTGTTTGTTTATCTTCTGCTCTACTGATCTTATTTTTGCCTTTTCTTCCTTCAATGTACATTTCTCTGCTGTGCGATGAACAAAGGGTTTTAGATTTGACCGTAAACAGGACTAGTTGATTCTCTCACTTTCTTGTTTTAAAGATACCAGATTTATGTTTTCCTTTAAGAAATAAGTCCGAGCTTTAAGTCGTGAGGACGCCTGAAGATAAAGGTTATTTGTTATTCTGCTTGTTGGGGTTTTCCCTCTCCTGTAGTGTGTTATAGGTTTTAGTGCATGTTAATGGTCTCCAAAGGCTAAAATCTCCGTGTTTCCTCCAGAGGGAGTTTCTCTCCCACACACTATGGAACAATCCTATTGGCTAGCACTACAACACATTGTACGTGATAGGCTAAGGGGCGGGACATCTCTAAGCGGTTGAACAATCACAACAGAGCCGGCCAGCTAACCAATCAGAGCAGACTGGGCTCTGGTTTCAGACAGAGGGTGAAAAGAGGTGGAGAGGACTCTTTAAAGTAGAGATACTACACACTGATATACACCTGAACATCAGCAGGAGAGGACTCTTTAAAGTAAAGACACTACATACTGATATACACCTGAACATCAGCAGGAGAGGACTCTTTAAAGTAGAGACACTACATACTGATATACACCTGAACATCAGCAGGAGAGGACTCTTTAAAGTAGAGACACTACATTCTGATATACACCTGAACATCAGCAGGAGAGGACTCTTTAAAGTAGAGACACTACATACTGATATACACCTGAACATCAGCAGGAGAGGACTCTTTAAAGTAGAGACACTACATACTGATATACACCTGAACATCAGCAGGAGAGGACTCTTTAAAGTAGAGACACTACATAGCAAAAATGAAACCTGCACATTTGCATAACAGGGCCAGTTTAATTGGAAAAACAGAGGCTAAAATATAAAAACAGTAAGACTTTGGGTTTGTGTTTAAAAGAGAACTAGACTTTTTTGTAATCTTGAGTTCATTCTCAGAAAGTAAGCGTGACTTTTCCCAACAAAGAGAAACGTATACAGTTTGTTAGGATTTCCTTTTTGCTCCTCCATGTCCTCGAGCCTTCAGAGCCACCAGCACAAAGTTTCTGGGAGAAAGGTTTGGGTCGAAGAGAGGAACCAGCCGACTGTCCACACCTGCAGGAAGAGGAAGATTCAGTTATTAAAATGCAAATACAAATAGATAAAGGGCCTGTATTGAAATCATTTAAACTTTTCAGAAAGCGCTGGCAACGACACTGTATGAAATGTTGTCCTGTAGTTCCTTTATAGCCCAACATTAGCCATCTTTAGCTTAGCGGTGGTGACGTGAAGTCATGTGACCGTGCTGTAGTTCCTTTATAGCCCAACATTAGCCTCCTTTAGCTTAGCGGTGGTGACGTGAAGTCATGTGACCGTGCTGTAGTTCCTTTATAGCCCATTAGCCTCCTTTAGCTTAGCGGTGGTGAGGTGAAGTCATGTGACCGTGCTGTAGTTCCTTTACAGCCCATTAGCCTCCCTTAGCTTAGCGGTGGTGACGTGAAGTCATGTGACCGTGCTGCAGTTCCTTTACAGCCCATTAGCCTCCTTTAGCTTAGCGGTGGTGACGTGAAGTCATGTGACCGTGCTGTAGTTCCTTTATAGCCCAACATTAGCCGCCTTTAGCTTAGCGGTGGTGACGTGAAGTCATGTGACCATGCTGTAGTTCCTTTATAGCCCAACATTAGCCACCTTTAGCTTAGCGGTGGTGACGTGAAGTCATGTGACCGTGCTGTAGTTCCTTTATAGCCCAACATTAGCCGCCTTTAGCTTAGCGGTGGTGACGTGAAGTCATGTGACCATGCTGTAGTTCCTTTATAGCCCAACGTTAGCCACCTTTAGCTTAGCTGTGGTGACCTCTGTAGTTCCTTTATAGCCCAACATTAGCCTCCTTTAGCTTAGCGGTGGTGACGTGAAGTCATGTGACCGTGCTGTAGTTCCTTTATATCCTAACGTTAGCTTTTTACTTCAGAAATCATAAAGTGGTGTTAATATGTGGACGCAGACTGCGTGGGGCCTCACCTCGCGGAGGGAGCCTCAACTGACCTATGCGCTTATGCGGCGCAATTAGTGTGGCGCGGCACGGTTTCGCCGCTGCGAGGCTCCACTAGCGCCCCCCCCCTCTGTCGACCCTCGACCCTCACGAAACAGAGGGTCTCATGATATAACTTTGCGTGGGGCCTCAAGTTGGCCAGGGACGGCCCTGATGTGGAGATTATCCTGCTGAACTAAACGTGTTAGAATCATAAACGTTTTGTTTGATTATTTTCTGCAATAACAAAAATCACATGGAGAAATCCTATTGGCTTTTATTTGTGGGTGGAACCAGGATGAATCTCTCTTTAGTGCCCTGCTTCCTACATCAAGAAGACATCAGCCTTAGAGCAGTCCTCACCGTTCTCCTGCAGGTAGATGATGCGGTCCAGCAGCACCAGCGTCTCCACCACCGGAGCCAGCAGCAGGGCGAGGCTGAAGAACACCACCACCCGGCCCTGCTGCTCCAACATGGCCTCCACCCGCCCCCCGTCCAGAGGCAGGTCGGGGGGCAGGCCGACCCGCGCCAGGCCCAGACGGGCGTACCTGAGGGGGACATTAAAGATCTCCTATCATGCTATTTTTAGGCATATATTATGGGTCTCAGATATATACAAATATATGAAAAACATGTCTATGATGTGTTTTGCTCAAAATACCAAACAGATCATGCATTTTAGACATCCCTCAAATCCCTCTATTTCAGCCCGGTTAGAGAAGTGCTAATTCTGGGTCAGTAGCTGCTGGTCCCGCCCCCTTTTGAGCACGCAGGCAAGCAGTGAGCTGCAGAGGGAAGAGTGGCTGCTCTGCTCAGATACAGCTAAATGCTGCCATGATTAAACACCATATCATGTTCCAAACCACTTCAAGGATTATTTCTGAAAACAGTATGGAGCTCAAATGCTTTTTCTCTCTCAGGTTTACCACAAGGTGAGTTCCTTTTTTTATTTCCTGCGTTTTTACACATACTCTCTCCAGTACAGGTTAGCTCTGAGTGTTAGCGATGCTAATGTAAACACAGACCATGGGTGTTTCTCAATCGCGAGTAAAGCTGCTCCAGAGCCACTATTTCAAGCATACTACGTCATCGAGTGCCGCCGAAGTACTGTTCCAATCTCCAGCATACTTGGAAATCTACCGAGCCCGGCGTACTCCGTTTGGAGAAATATCGAGGCTGCACATGAGTAGACTCTGCGGTCTTAAAATCCCCACAATGCTTTGCGCACGGACCAATTTCCCCAATTCTGTGGCGGAAGATGTAAGGCGGGGCCTCTCATATGACGCACACCTGCACACTTGCTAGCCTGTTCCACTCTTTGTTTTCCGAATGTCAGGAAGTATTCTTGACTCGCTTCTGAAGCAAGATGCTCGGCAGACATGTGCTACCAAGCAAGCGTACTCGCGATTGAGAAACACCCCATATTACGTCCAAAACACGTCGGCATTGTTTCTGATAGCAACTTTCTGATAGGCCCGTGGGTGTAAAGCCCGCCCACATTTCAGATATTACGTCATATCGGACGCAAATCTGGATCAGCTCCGTTGTTCCCCCGTTTTTAGAGATTTGGGTACGGAGGAAAAGAGAGAGGGTTTTATTTTCTGACACTTATATATATATATATATATATATATATATATATATATATATATACACATATGTATGTATAAAATACATCCAAAAGTGCATTTTGCATAATAGGAGACCTTTAAATCTCAGATAGTGGCCTTGAATCATTGCTGACTAAGGATTGATATCGTTAAGATCTTAACATAGTAAACATGTGTGTGTGCGTCTCCTCACTCAGTAAACGTCAACAGGTGGGCTTTCTTCACGGTCTGGACCCCCGCTCTGCACAGCTCGGGCCTCTGCTCCCTGATGATGGTCTCCAGCGTCGCTCTGTAACAGTGCGTCCTCAGCAGCTGGCTTTCCTCCCAAAGCCTCCGCCGGTAGTCCTCCAGCGCGTGACACGCCGCCTCCCGGGCCTTGTAGGACAGCTGGTGTCCAGGCAGACCCCCCACCCAGGAGCTCATGGGGTATCCGAACTCTGAGGGTTGCAGCATCGTCTCCTGGAGCCTCTGGACACAGGAAACAGGAAACACATCAGGTGACCCTTTTTTACCGGCAGAGCAGAGGAAAACTGTTGGGAAAATACTGAATGTACTCCTCCAATATCAGAGTACACATGATAACAAAGGTATCCCAACTGTAGCTGTGTACATGACAGGATGTCTGATTACCTAGAAGAGCATCAGGACTGTTTTAGGCATATGATAGCTATGTGATTAACATGATGATTCAGCCTCTATGGAGATAGACATATGACAAGCATGCTCATTTCTGACGTGGAGCTAATCTGAAGTAAACATTGAATACTGCTTTGAACCGGTATTCCTTCCTCGACCCTTTTTTATCGGCAGAGCGGAGGAAAACTGTCAGTGGTTAATGTGGGAACATCAAAACAGACAAAGCAACAACTTAAAGGTCACCTATTATGCAAAATCCACTTGTTCACGTCTCTTCTACATCAACATGTGTCCCCTCTTCTTCATGTCTCTTCTTCATCAACATGTGTCCCCTCTGTGGAAAGAGACTCTGAAAGTCTCAGGAACAACGATTCTCTCTCTTTTTGTCCTGATCCATTTATATAAAAACCTGTCTGAAAATGAGCTGATCAGATTTTGGCCACTTTGTGATGTCATGATTTTTTTGTCTTGTGTAACCATTAGCCAATCACCAACCAAGGTAACCCCTCCCCCCCCCCACCCCACCTTATCACCTGAATCTCCTCCTAGAGCACCATTGAGTTCTTTGTAACCAAATCTCTCTCAGAGGGGCGTGGGGAGGGGCTCCTTATTTTCATCTAAAGTAACAGACAGAGAATCAGCACTTTGGAAACAGGGCTGAAACAGAGGGGATTATGGGTAATGCTGCAATGATCTGTTTGGTGTTTCAGCCAATCAGAGACAGGTTCTGTATATATCTGAGACCTGTGATATATTGATGAGAAACAGTATGATAGGGGACCTTTAAACATGAGTAATAGTGTGTGTGTCGGATGTTTTATTCTGAGCCTCAGAGCTGCATTGTTGACCAGCAGTGATGTAAAGTAACTAAGTAGATATACTCAAATGCTTTGTACTTCGTCTGCGGGGTGAGGAGCCGCTATCAGACCCGGGGGGGACGGATGCTCCCTGGTGGAGATCTTCATGTAGCAGCAGGCCACTGAGGTGATGCCGCGCACATGTGGGCAGCTGATGAAGTGCCGGAGGAGGGTGGAGCTGAGGTCTCCGCAGGCGTGGAGCCCCGTGAGGACGAAGTCTGGACGGAGCATTTCCTCAGGAGGTCGAACCCCCTCCTGGACACACGAGCACCTGGAGGCCTCGTCTTCAGAATCCTTTCCGCTGAGCTGGTGACGTGACGTTGATAAAGTATCTTCTTCGGAGCCTCTCTGTCTCTTTTTACAGGGTCCAGATGGAGTTTGGGGTCCTTCTGCACCGCTCAGCTGTTCGATGAAGGACTCCCATGATGCCTTGGGGTTTACCCACCCGGCCACATGTCGAGGCTGAGATACTGGGAGCAGAGAGGAGCCGCTCTAAGAAAGGAGACAAATGTTTATTGGTGCCTTTCGGTGCCAGCAGGAGATACAGTGGTTTGGAAAAGTATTCAACCGCCTCGTAAATGATCAGATTTCTCTGCATTTCAAATGATGCATTAAGAGTGTGTTCTATTTCATATTTTACTTACAAAGAGTGTCATTAGTTTTATGTGAGAAACATGTTGTAGAAAAAATATATAATACATTGCATAAGTATTCAACCCCTGTGAGACAAAAGAAAATGATTGCAATTTTGATGTTTTACGTTCTTAAGTTGAAGACAAAAGGTGGTTCTATCGAACATTAAAGTGTAGGGGTTTGAATACGAACTTAAATGGCAAATAGACAAGAATCAAAATCTAATCATGACACCACTAACAAACCACCTCTCAATCATATGCTTTGCTTATGGACTAAATGTATGTATTAACAGAAATAAAAGCTCAAACCTCTTTCTGCTTCTCCCTCTCTTTTTCTAAGACCCCCATCAGCTCTCCGTCAAACTTGGTTGCCATGGCGAGCAGCACGCGATCCGCCTCGATGGCGGTCACAGAGAGTCCGAGCCCGAAGGACAGGAAACGCGTCAGGTGACCCTGAGCGGAGGAAACCTCTCAGTGGTTAAAGTGGGAGCATCACAACAGACAAAGCAACGATTTAAACACAAGTAGGCTACAGTGTGTGTGTGTCGCATGTTTTATTCTCTGCCTCAGAGCTGCATTGTTGACCAGCAGTGATGTAAAGAAACTAAGTAGATATACTCAAATACTTTGTACTTTTACTCCTCTACAGTTCAGAGGTAAATGGTGTACTTTTACTCCACTACATGTATTTAATACCTTTAGTTACTTCACAGATGTGGATGAATGATGTGAAATATAACCAAGTGTTAAATCAGACTTTAGTTCCACCTGGAGTAAATCCACAAGCTACCCTGCAGTATACAAAGTCATTCAAACTAGCTGCACCTTTACCAGCTTTGAGAACACTTTCATGATCAATCATTATAAAACATATCATATATATTATTCTGAAATGGACCAATCTGCACAATGACTACTTTTACTGTCGCTACTTTCACTATATTTTGATGATAATACTTTTCTACTTTTACTTGAGGAACATTTTGAATGCTCAAATATTGCTGAATAAACAAACCAGAAACAGGGTGATAGTGATCAAATCAGATGATACCTGTCCTGAGCCCACATCCACCACACTGCTGCAGTCAGTCTGGTCACACAGTTCTTTCACCAGCTGGAATACACAAAACGCAACAGATGAAAAAACACTGTTCACAGAGACCAATACTGGAGCGATAGCAGCATTAGCCCCTCGTACCGCGCCCAGCTTGCGGATCTCGTGCTGTTTCTTGGGTTTGACGTGTTTCCTGAAGATGTGTCGCAGCAGAGAGCTCTGACTCTCGTTGTTCTGAAACTCCTCGGCCCCCCCGCCGCTCTCCCTGCTCTCTCTGGGAAACGCCAGAGCCTGAGCAGTGGCTCGAAACGCCAACAGAGACAGAGGCCACACCGAGGGATATCTGCAACCACAAACACTGCAGGGTTATTATTTAAATCACAACTCTGGCAGTATTATATATATATATGTGTCTAACTGTCAACAAGTACAACTGCATGCACTTGCATAAAGACATGTATTTGCATTTTATTTGATTAAAGAGGAAATATTCTGCTCATGTTCAGGTTCATATGTGTCTCTACTGGGACATATCTCCATGCTTTAATGTTCAAAAAGCTCTCTATCTCTCTCATACTGCCTGTGCTGCAGCACCTCTTTTCACCCTCTGTCTGAAACCAGAGCCCAGTCTGCTCTGATTGGTTAGCTGGCCGGCTCTGTTGTGATTGGTCAACAGCTTAGAGATGTCCCGCCCCTTAGCCTATCATGTACAATGTGTTGGAGCGCTAGCCAATAGAAGCGCTCAAAAAAGACAAAAGAGAATAAAGAAATAAAATAAAAATAAAATAACACTACAGGAAGTGATAATTGGGATTTCTTTAACTTGCTGGGTGATTTTGCGGCTCTGCTCATCTACTGTACAGAGCTTTGTGAATTGAATCCGTATTTTGTTGAATTTGTGTTTTTTGAGCATGTATTTTGGGGCCCTGTATCATCCAGCAGTACCTCCTGTCTGCGTGTGAAGCACCCAGCAACAGGTCAGCGATCTGTGGGTACTTCAGGTCCCGCAGCACGGCCCTCCAGCTGCTGGGCAACGAGCTCCACAGATCCTCAGTGAAGAACTCCTGCAGGGAATCAGAATCAGGTTTATCACCACTGACACGTACGAGGGATTTGACTTGATGTCATGGTGCATACATAAAAGTAAAACAAAAATTAAAAACAAGTGAAAGTAAAGTAACAAACGCTGGATTTCACAATCATATTTATAATTTTACTTTATCTTTTTATGTCTATATACATGTTTTTGTCTTTTTTTTACTAAAATATTTTTGTTTTACTTGCAACATAGTATTGTTACACTCTGGTACTTCAACTTTTACTCAAGTACAAGATCTGAATACTTCTACTTTTACTCAAGAACAAGATCTGAGTACTTCTACTTTTACTCAAGTACAATATCTGAGTCCTTCTACTTTTACTCAAGTACAAGATCTGAATACTTCTACTTTTACTCAAGTACAAGATCTGAGTACTTCTACTTTTACTCAAGTACAATATCTGAGTCCTTCTACTTTTACTCAAGTACAAGATCTGAATACTTATACTTTTACTCAAGAACAAGATCTGAGTACTTCTACTTTTACTCAAGTACAAGATCTGAATACTTATACTTTTACTCAAGAACAAGATCTGAGTACTTATACTTTTACTCAAGTACAAGATCTGAGTACTTCTACTTTTACTCAAGTACAAGATCTGAATACTTCTCCCACCTCTGGTAATAGCCACAGTGAAGAGCTGTAGTATCAAGTTATGAGACATTTGTGCCATTTTTCCAGAAGCATGTTTTGTATTCGATTTCTTGTGTGTTAGTGGTTACCTGTCACTTAACAATACCTTGATCATAGTATATTTGCCACACACCAACAACAACAAAGCTAAAGTCATGTCATGCATCAGTACTCACGATGATATATGAGTCGGACAGGTGGCTGTACATGGACAGGAACGTGGTGATTCTTGTGGCCAGATCTCTCTGTTGTTCTGCAGAAAGGCTTGATGTAAACATCTCCCCATGCTGAGAAGCTGAAGGTAGATTAACTGACATGGGGCTTAAAGGCCAGCTAATGCTAACACAAGTTGTCTTGTTAACCCTGCCTTGTTTTACCAATAAAGAATACGTGTTTCTAAAAAATATCGGGTACTTTAAATCGGCAGTTATAAAGCAAATCCAGCACAAATAAGGCTTGTTGTGCTTAGCCACTTGATAGCTAGCATTGATGTACAATTCACATGTAGGATGCGTTCAGGTACGTCCGGTAATTCCTTCAGGCAGGGAGGGCGATCGAACAGAATCAGAATAAGAAATACTTTATTTATTTCCGGGGGATTTGGATTTTCGACAGTTGCTGTACTGTAATGAATTCATTTATTAAGATAAGTTTGAGTAAGAAATCGTGTATTATATTACAATATATAACAACAAAATTATATATTCATGTATTTGTTTCAACTTTCTGTTTGTCCCTGAAGGTAACATGACCCGGATGTTGAACGTTTGTTGTGAGCAGAAAGAATATCGAGGGTCGAAAGATTGCTGCAGGTCTGCTTTAACACTTTTAAAGTTATTTTAACATATCTTATTGATGTGTATTGAATCAATATAGAACTGATTATGTTCACATACATTTATTGTTCAATTTCCCGCTGAGAAACAGTTATTTTCAGCGACTTAGACACGGAGTTAGCATAGTAACGTTTGTGAGCTAACGTTAAGCTAACGGCTAAAAGGATGTTGTTTATTTTTAAAATAAGAGCTTATTATGAGGAAACTCAGATCAACTCAGAGGAGGGAGAAGTACTCAGATGTTGTACTGAAGTCAACATAGAAGTACTCAGATCTTGTACTTGAGTGACAGTAGAAGTACCAGAGTGTAGAAATACTATTTGATAAGTAAAAGTAGAAGTATTCATATCTTGTACTTGAGTCAAATTAGAAGTACTCAGATCTTATACTTCAGTAAAAGTAGAAGTACTCAGATCTTGTACTTCAGTAAAAGTAGAAGTACTCAGATCTTGTACTTCAGTAAAAGTAGAAGTACTCAGGTCTTGTACTTCAGTAAAAGTAGAAGTACTCAGGTCTTGTACTTGAGTACAAGTAGAAGTACTTAGATCTTGTACTTGAGTAAAGTCAAAATAGAAGTACTCAGATCTTGTACTTGAGTGAAAGTAAAAGTACTCAGATCTTGTACTTCAGTAAAAGTAGAAACTCAGATCTTGTACTTGAGTGAAAGTAGAAGTACTCAGATCTTGTACTTGTACTTGAGTACCAGAGTGTAGGAATACTCTGTTACAGTGAAAGTCTTGCATTCAAAATATTACTCAAGTAAAAGTAGAAAAGTATTCTCATCAAAATATAGTGAAAGTGGCGACAGTAAAAGTAGTCATTGTGCAGATTGGTCCATTTCAGAATAATATGATATGGTTTTGGAGTAGAAGTACAAAGAAGCATACAATTGAAATACTCGGGTAAAGTACAAGCACCTCAGAATTGTTCTACAGTACTTGAGTAAATCTACCTAGTTACTTTTATCTACCCCATCACACTTACATTTGGTTTAATAAGAAAGCAACATCTAATGAAAGATGTGCTGATGCATTCAAGGCCCCTAGTTCTTTCTAAACTTGCAGGTTGTTGCACACCGGTTATATAAAATGTATTTTATTAAAGTCCTGCAAATGAAGACGTGGTTTGATAAGGTCTCATTTCTCTCACAGGATGCTTTTTAACCGATGTGTCAGCTGATAAACGTTGCACTTACAAAGGTTGAAGACCCTTTGAGTTGGAGGTCAAAATAAGCACATCTGCACGATTGCTTTGAGGAGACATTATTTTGACCTCTGCTGGACTGCGACCAGAACCATGTCGAACATTCTGATCAACGTGAGCCTTTCTGACGAGCCTGCGCAGAAGAGGCCACCGCCGGTAAACTGGAAAAACAAAAACATGCGGTATCGTAAAAAGCCCTCCTCTCTGGAAGGAAGGAATCATTACAACCACAGAACAGGACAAGTCCTGCCTCCACGGCAAAATGGAGCAAATCATTCAGCGCCTCCGACTTCCTCGAACAACACGACTTTACCGTCAAACTCACTCTGCAGCGCCCCGCCTTCAACGTCCGCTCAGTGCCAGGAAAAACCAAATGATGCTGGGAACACAAAAGCATCGCCCTCGTGCTCCAGCAGCCAGAAGCCCACCACCACTCAGTCCTCCTCCTCAGCAGCAATGCCCACCAAGTTCCTGGCCATCGACTGTGAGATGGTGGGCACGGGGCCGAAGGGCAGCATCAGCCAGCTGGCCCGCTGCAGCCTGGTGTCGTACGACGGAGACGTGGTCTACGATAAGTTCATCAACCCCCCCGTGCCCGTCACGGACTACCGGACCCGGTGGAGCGGCATCCGACACCGAGACCTCGTCAACGCCACGCCTTACATCGAGGCCAGGAAGGAGGTGAGGAGATCCTCTAATGTATTTTTTTTTTTCAATGTATTTTTTCTAACTAATGTTCTTTTCAGAATTTAAAGATTTTCATAAGAAAAAAATCTGAATTCAGACTTTTTTCTCAGAACTCACATGAAAATATATCACTTTTCTCATTCATATAATTTCATTAAAAGTGTTTGAATACCCTTCGTTCAGTATTTCAACATGTAGCATGCAGAGGTGGGAGGATTACAAAGCAGCTAAACATTTAAATACTCAAATAAAGTACCTCAAAATGTTTCAGTATAGTAAAAACACATTTCTGCTGCTGCACCGCAAACATTTCCCAAATTGGGATCAATAAAGTACTTCTTATCTTATCTTATGAGTAAATGTACTTCACTGTATACAGTCGTGGTGAGTTCATGGTCTCCAGCAAAACATTAAATACCCTTCTCTCAGTATTTCAACATGTTGCACGCAGAGGTGGGAGAATTACAAAGCGGCAAAACATTGAAATACTCAAAGTACCTCAAAATGGTTCAGTACAGTACTTAAGTAAAAGTTCTTCACTGTACACAGTTGTGGTGAGTTCAGGGTCTCCAGCAAAACATTGAAATACTCAAGTAAAGTACCTCAAAATTGTTCAGTACTGTAAATGTACTTCACTGTATACAGTCGTGGTGAGTTCAGGGTCTCCTCTGTCGGCAGATACTTCGGCTGCTGATGGGCAAGGTGGTGATCGGACACGCCATCCACAACGACTTCAAGGTGCTGGGCTACGCGCACCCCGGGGTGCTGACCAGAGACACGTCCCGCATCCCGCTCCTCAACCAGAGGGCCGGCTTCGCCCCCAACGAGGTGGCCTCGCTGAAGAGACTCACCAAGGCCATCTTCAACAGAGACATCCAGGTACCAGCAGCGCTCGGCCTTCTCTATCTGGGTTCTCTATTTTTGGTTTCATGTTTCAAGGCTTTTATTGTCATGTGTGCAGAGCTACAGTGTAGATATGACCATGAACATCTGAGGTCACAGGCTCCTCCAACAGAGCAACACAATAACACAAGTAAATAAAATACACTTGAATATAATAGAAACAGAATATGATAGAAACTGTGCAGAATAGTGTATATACAGTCATTGGAATATTGATATATATGTGAGTTGCAAACAGATTTACTTTTATGTATGCACCACGACACCAAGTCAGGTAGGTGTCAACCCACCTGGTGATAAACCTGTTTCTGATTAAGAGCATTAAGAAACATATTATAAAATGGCATTTAAAAACACTCCTTTAAAAGCAAAGGAACATGAATGAAAGTGACAGAGCCGTGTGAGATACACACGTCTGAAATGTTTCGCTCTGACTCAATCATTGCTCACTTTTTAGCAGAAATAGTTTTCTTTACCCTCACTTTCTTTCTACTTTCTTTTTAACTTATCCTTCAGTTATTTCCAGTCTTTCAGGCTAAACGATCCCCCCTTTGTGAGATTATAATCTGCAACCCAATATTCCCAAAATTCAACGGGCACAAGTCAGCGGTTCCCAACCTTTTCCCACTCAGGGCCCACTTAAGAATCAACTAAATGTTTGCGGCCCACATTCAACCATAAACAATACGAAGGTTCTGATTGGTCGATTCAGAACATGTGACACGTTGTAAATCCAGTAGTACAGACCGCTGTCAAGGACTGTAATGACCGTTGCTAAGGAGGATCGAGAAAGAGAAAGGAAAGGAGGTTCAAACACAACAATTATTCTTTATAATGAAATGTTTCCACACAAATCGTAATGTTTTGCAAATTATTTGGCGGCCCTCTTGCAATGCGTTCCCCAGGTTGGGAACCGCTGGCATCAGTAATGTTTGTCATTTAGAAGTGGAAAGCAAAAGATATGCATATAAATGAGACGACGGTCTGAACTGATTGTATGTACTAAGGAACTACAAAGAACACAAACAAACAATAACAACGACTTAAAGGTCACCTATTGTGCAAAATCCACTTTCTCAACATGATTTAAAAAAAAAAAAGATTCTCTCTCTTTTTGATCCATTTCTATAAAAACCTGTCTGAAAATGAGCTGATCAGATTTTGGCCACTTTATGATGTCATAACGATGTTTTGTCTTGTGTTATTATTAGCCAATCACCAACCAAGGTAACCCCCGAGGCGTGGGGAGGGGCTCCTTATTTTCATCTAAAGTAACAGACAGAGAATCAGCACTTTGGAAACAGGGCTGAAACAGAGGGGATTATGGGTAATGCTGCAACGATCTGTTTGGTGTTTCAGCCAATCAGAGACAGGTTCTGGATATATCTGAGACCTGTGATATATTGATGAAAAACTGTATAACAGGGGACCTTTAAGTAATGTGCTATATAAATAAACGTACCTTACATGTATGTGTGACGGCAAAGTGTCTCTCTCTGCGTCCTCAGACTGGGAGGAAGGGCCACTCCTCGGTGGAGGACGCCCGGGCCACCATGCAGCTCTACAGAGTGGTGGAGGAGCAGTTGGAGAGGACTCTGGCCTCAAAAGCTCAGAACACCTAGTGCCAGCTTTCAAGAGACCACATGGAAATAAAACCGGGTTTAAATTGGACTTTTTTTGGTGTGTTTTGGATGGACTCACCCCCCTGCTGTCCTGGTGACGTGTGAATGAAGAAACCAGGTTCCTGACCTCCAGCTGGATTCTGATATCATGGGAGATAAAAGCCTTCAGTTTCAGCTGCTCCTTCTCAGGGTTTGCATTGTGTCTTAAGGTGCTCCTGCCACTAGGGGGCAGTCATGTTTTCGTCCAGGCAACAGCACATGATCACAAACATGATGAAAACAAATATTATTTTCTACAAAGTAAGTGAGTTCAATTCAACTCAGTCATGCCTACACCTCTGTGGTCTTCATCTGTTTCCTTTATGATATTCAAAACTATTTAAAATCTGACTATTGCCCCTTTAAAAACTCAATAAAAAAGAACTAAATTATGCTTGAGTAGATTTTAAACACAACTTTAAAGTCGGACAACATTGCCACTAAAAGAACTTCCATGTCAGTGTTTTTTTAAATTGCTTTAAGTGGATATCAAAGACAATTTTAACTCTTACAATATGCTATGAAAATTCTCACTTTTAAAATGTTTCTTTTAAATAATTTCTTTGTGGAGATCAACATCAATTTAAAGTCTGACAACATCGCCAATAAAAAGCTCAAGTTCAATATAAAATATGTCTTGATTACGCTTGAGAAGATATCAAACACAATATAACGTCTGACAACATTACCACAAAAAAAAAATTATTTTTCTTCAGGGACGTTTTTTCTACTTCGTCATTTTCAGATACACGTGTTTAAATGTGACTTGCGGGTGAAAAACCCCCCAAAAAAAAAACCTTTATTTGTTTATTTGTTGAAATACTGGAAGCATGGCGGTCTAGAGAGAAGACACTGTTACAAAAAAGTAGTTGGTGAAGAAAAAAAGATCATTTTTATTATCCATATGTGAAAAATATACATTTATTTTGTTCAGTTTTGATGCAAACAATGATGTTCTTCATGTATTTAGACTTGGTTTTAGAAGGTGGCTCTCATTAGTTCACTCATTGTTTTAAAATGTAAAAAAAAAAACTCTTTTTTTAGGAAAAACTGCAAGTATGGACAGTTAGACAGAAGGCACTGTTAAAGTAGTTGGTAGAGTATATTGCCAGAAAACATTATTGTATAAAAACGTGAAGATTACACAGAGTGAGAATGTTAATTCAGTCCCTGGTTATTCTCATAGCCGAGCCTTTAACATCCAATTTCCCCAAAAACCTAAAGTAACACATGGAAACCTCCATTTCATGACTTTATTTAAATACTTCATTAGACCCTTTCTTGTTAAAAAATCTCTCCTCTCTCCGCTCAGTGACTGTAAAATGTATTTTGGGAATATGGAAGTTTGTCTGTGGGAGTTCGTCGTACTGTTTCCTATGCAACGTCTGACGGGTTCCGATGTCTGCTGTAGATTCAGATTGGTGCTCAACTTCAATAAATCATTTCCACAATCATTTCCAGGTGTTAGAATATTTACTGTAACCAAGACAACGATCATCATCTGCATTTTTACATTTTAAGTCAGATATTCTTGTTTTTTAAAGGGAAGTTTGTCGTTCCTGCAGCTAGGGGTCTCGATCAACAACAAAATACGGGTTTGACGACGTCGTGAAGCGGCGTGGGATCATGGGAGTTGTGTTCATCGTTAAACAATCCCTGTTGATGGTTGTCACGCCCTGGCTCAAGGACGGACAAAAGAAGGAGACCACACATCATTCACATCCAATTAAAGTATATTTATTTAAAGAAACTAAGTTAATTATGAAGTCAGTTAATCAGTAATGTGTGTAGTGTGTGGGTATGTGAACATGTATCAGTATATAAAAGGATACTTGGAATTCTACAGAGGCCGGCGTACTTCGTTGCGGGAAATTTCGACATTGAGAAACACCCAGAGAGAATGGGTGTTTCTCAATGTCGAGGACGCTTGCTTGGTAGCACATGTCTTCCGAGGCAAGAATCCTTCCTAGCCTTGGAAAACGAAGAATGGTGGAACAGGCTAACAGGTGTGCGTCATATGCGAGGCCCCGCCTTAAATGGAGCGCGATTTCCGTTGAAGATTTGGAAATTGGTCCGTGCGCAAAGCATTGTGGGGATTTTAAGACCGCGGAGTCTACACATGTGCAGCCTCGAAATTTCCCGCAACGAAGTACGCCGGCCTCGGTAGAATTCCAAGCATCCTGGACATTGGAACAGTCCTTCGGCGGGACTCGATGACGTAGCATCCTTGAAATCGAGTGCCGCCGAAGTACTGTTCCAATCTCCAGTATACTTGGAAATCTACCGAGCCCGGCGTACTCCATTTGGAGAAATATCGAGTCTGCACATGAGTAGACTCCGCGGTCTTAAAATCCCCACAATGCTTTGCGCACGGACCAATTTCCCCAAATCTGTGGCGGAAGATGTAAGAGGCGGGGCCTCTCATATGACGCACACCTGCACACTTGCTAGCCTGTTCCACACTTCGTTTTCCGAATGCCAGGAAGTATTCTTGACTCGCTTCTGAAGCAAGATGCTCGGCAGACATGTGCTACCAAGCAAGCGTACTCGCGATTGAGAAACACCCCCTGACTGCTCAAGCACACATACTTGTAGCTGAGCAGTCAACCAAAATCAGGTGTCAGCAATCTCTCCTGATTGGGGAGTGGCTAACCAGGGACTTGAGTCTAAGGCCTAGGGGCCGTCACACTGATAAAGTAAGTACGGAACAGGATCAGGGCCACATGTGATATTTTAAATATTTTTAATATTATATCGTTTTTTCTTCTATGAAAAATGTCATGTTTTTTTGGAGGGGAAAAATATGTTTTTGTTTTGTTCTGAAATTTGTTTTATTTTTATGTCTGACATTTTTGTGATTTGTATTTGTTTACAATTTTTGTGATTTCTTTTTTTCTTTGTCTGAAAATCACAGAATTCTGACCCACATTCTATTTACATTTTCTGATGTTTCATTTTTTTTTAAACATGTTTTTATTTTGATTCAGATTTTCAGGATTTGTTTCTCTCCCCATTCCATAGAAAATGTTCATTTGTTTCTGAACATTTTTGTTTTTTTCAGAATTTTTGGGGAATGTATTTCCTTATTTTTTCAGAATTCTGAGACTTTAAAAAAAGAAAAGAATCTGAATTCTGACTTTTTTTCTCGGAACTCACATGAAAAAAAATCACTTTTTCTCAATTTAGTTTTTACATCTGGCCCTGATCCTCTTCCGTAAGTACGTGATGATGGGTAACTCAGAGCATCACTACACTTATTAGGATCCATCTTCTGGGAACCATGAATGTGCAAAATAATCCCTTCAGTAGTTGTTGAGATATTTTGTAAGAGAACCCAAATGATCAATCCTTTCTTAAAAACTAAAATGTTCCTAGTTTTATATTAGTTTCGGTAGAGAAACGTTATCGTTACAGCAGTATCTTCGATTAGCATAATACATATTTAAGAACCTCTCTTTTTTTCACCTGCCGCAGTGTCTCTAAACCTTTTTCAACTTTCAATGACTAAATGTTTGACCTGTCAGGTGTGAATTTCCCAGATCTCTCAGCAGTGGAGTGAAACATATCGTTCTCTCTCCGCCTCACACTGCTCCACTTTCTGTCTCCTCTCCGTACAAAGTGTTCGTCCTTAAAGGTGAGCGATCAGCAGAAGCTCCCTGCTGTGAACCCAACACCTGCTCATTAATTATACAGCAGGCCGTCCTTCCTGTTCAAATACAAACATCTTTCACCAGTCGGACGCAACTGCTGTGAGGCTCAGTAAAGAGGACAGAATCAATGATGCACTTTTTAATCAGGAGCAACTGGAAGTGTCAAGGACAACGAGGTGTTAGTTTGAGAGCGTCTGTTGTTAGAAAACATATGAAACAACTAAATCCTGCTGCTATGAGGAGTTGTGAGAAGCACCAGAGCACATTGGCTGCAGTCCGTGCTAAAGCTCATGTCTATCATTTCTTTTGATTTTTTTGTATTTTGAAAAATATGTTTTTGTGTTGTATCAGAATTTTTTTGATTTGTTATTTATTTTCTGAATTTTTGGGAAATGTCTAACTTACTTCCAGAAGGGGAGACAAAAGGCCTCAGCTTTTTAATTCAAAAATCATAAAGTGGAGATTAACCTGCTGAACACAACGTGTAAGTGTCATAAAGATTAATGGAAAAATGTGAACCAGGGAGCTGCTAAATTCCCCGTCTGTTTACAAAAATCTGTAGTCCCTGAAACCAGAGGTAGAAGTACTCAGATCTTGTACTTGAGTAAAAGTAGAAGTACTCAGATCTTGTACTTGAGTAAAAGTAGAAGTACTCAGATCTTGTACTTGAGTAAAAGTAGAAGTACTCAGATCTTGTACTTGAGTAAAAGTAGAAGTACCAGAGTGTAGGAATACTCTGTTACAGTAAAAGTCCTGCATTCAAAATGTTCCTCAAGTGAAAGTAGAAAAGTATTCTCATCAAAATATAGTTAAAGTAGCGACAGTGAAAGTAGTCATTGTGCAGATTGGTCCATTTCAGAATAATATATATGATATGTTTTATAATGATTGATCATGAAAGTGTTCTCAAAGCTGGTAAAGGTGCAGCTAGTTTGAATGACTTTGTATACTGCAGGGTAGCTTGTGGATTTACTCCAGGTGGAACTAAAGTCTGATTTAACACTTGATTATATTTCACATCATTCATCCACATCTGTGAAGGAACTAAAGGTATTAAATACATGTAGTGGAGGAAAAGTACACCATGTACCTCTGAACTGTAGTGGAGTAGAAGTACACCATGTACCTCTGAACTGTAGTGGAGTAGAAGTACACCATGTACCTCTGAACTGTAGTGGAGTAGAAGTACACCATGTACCTCTGAACTGTAGTGGAGTAAAAGTACACCATGTACCTCTGAACTGTAGTGCAGTAGAAGTACACAGTAGCATAACTCCATGTTATCCCATACAGCTTATCCCCCCCTTGTTCACGGGCAATAAAGGGAGTAATTCGATTTACTTCCTTTTATTAGCTCCGTAAGTAGAAGCCAGAGCATTAAACCAAAAGCCTCTTCTGTGGGGGTCTTAATATGTTGAAAACAAGATGGACGCTTCAGATTTGAGGTCCAAAAGCAAATGAAAAACATCGTTCAGCTCAATGATCCTTTTTAATCAGTACTATTCTTGACCTTGACCTTTGTTATAAAGCAGATTAAGAGTTCACCTGCTGCATTAATAAATCCTTGAAATGCTTCAAAGAGTGCCGTGGCTCTTATTAACAAATACAATATGGATTTCAAGGATTGCCCCCCCCCCCCCCCCCCCCCCCCCCCCCCCCTTTAAGTCAAGTTATTAGAAGCTTGACTTTACAGATGATCCTTTCCATACAAACATCATATAAGTCGTGGCCCAGCTTCCCCCACAGGTGCGTAATTCTACTTTTAAGCCTTGAGGAATGTGTCCATGTTGCACATTGGGTGTTAGCCTAACAGCTGAAGCACAGTGGGATGGAAACATAAAGGATCTTATATTATTTTATGCCATGTCCATTTTCTTCTGGCCTTTCTCACAGGGCTCGTAGATTCATTTACTCAAAGCTCCTTTAATCAAATGTACCACCAATATCAAATTAATGGGTGCATCCTTTTTGAGAAATTGCTCTGCATGTGTTGTCAAGTCGCTGAAGATGTTTCATCATGTGTGTTTTGGAACATGTGTGTTTTTATATCTGCATTGTTTTCTAAGCTGCAACACGTTTCCCCTGATGAAAGAGTTTTGGGTCGTTGTAGTGCGTCGGCCACCGTACCAAAACATCAAACAACGGAGAAAAAAACAATCAATAAACCTCAATAAATACATAGTAATGAGAAAAAAGTGACTGCTGTTATTTTGAGACGACACATTGTACTTATAACTGCTATTGGATGGATTGGGGAGGCAGGAAAACATATTTGATCCACTTCATAAAAACAATTGAAGTTTTAGTTTATGCTATATTTAAAATAATTAAGACGAGCTGAGGATATTGTTGCAGGTTGTCTTGTCTGTTTTGAACATTTTGATACCCTAGACCAGTGCCCCCCCCCCCCCCCGGCAAGTACTAAATACATGCGAGTTCATGGACAATGTTCTTGTTGCTCTGTGTTGCGTTGTTAATGAGTGAGACACACCGGAGTTGAGGATCTGTGGGGTTTATTCTCCCAAAAATATAATTTAGGCATTTAGCAGACGCCTTATTCCAAAGCGAATGACCAATTACAGGGACATTCTCCCTGGAGTAACTGAGGGCTAAGTGCCTTACTCAAGGGCACACTAGTAGTGGTGTTCCAGGCAGGATTTGAACTCGCAACCTTCCGATCATCAGCCCACCTCACTATCCATTAGACCACCAAAAAAAATAAAATAATAATAATTTTTTTATGAGATCCATTTGTGGCGGACGATATGTAATTGTGGCGGCCCGCGATCAACAAACATCTGAGGGTCTGGTGGAGAAGTTTTCCATGAATCCACCCCCTTTAGGAAATTCTCAAATGTTTCCATTTTGGGCTCATGCCAGTCCAACGTCTCATTTCCCTTTCTTTCAGAAGGTAAAAGCATTTGGACAGCAGCATGAGCATCTTTAAATTCATCCAGAGTCACTTTTAATTGTTCCACACCTCGTAACTCTTTTTCAATATTTCCACTATCAACAAGCAGTGGTCTGAGTTCACTCACTTTCTTTGGGGTACAAAAGCCGTTATTTATTTTCTCTTTAAAGCCACCGTCGTCAAAAACTGTAATGTTACCTCTAGAACACGGAGACTGTTTATAATTGGTGCACGGATTAAAGTTGGTTTGGGTGATGCCCAGGCCCGTACCCAGGATTTCGTAAATACCGAGGTCCAAAACATGCTAGGGGAGCTCGGCGGCAGGCCCTCCCACAAAAGCATTTTACTCTGGGCTCAGCAGGTGAGAAACTAAAGAGGGGCTTCCACATTGAAGCAGACCAGGTGTTGGTGCTGCCGGATTTGGCACCCCCAATATAACTTTGTCCAAGATAGTCGTACTGTCACCAAAATCACACTGTTTGCTGTCTCCCTCTAGTTGCCCAGTCTCACAAAACAATGTGTAATAGCTACGTTGGTCCACAGGGCAAAATGTAGTTTATTCACAAATAACCCTCTCAAGACGTGACATGGATACAATATTTTTTCCTATTTCTAATGACCAGTGTCCAAGTCGCTGGATTGTAAATCCTAAATTGTCAGATAGTTTGGCCGTTAAAATGCTTTTTGATTACATTTCTAGCGAGAAGTTTATATTGTACTTTTAGAATCTGCGTCCAGTGGATGTGTAGGATCTATAGTTTGATAGATATTATGAAGATTATTTGAGCTCCATGTTTTTTTTTACAACATATTGTATCCACGTCTTGAGAGGGTTATTTGTGAATATACTACGTTTTGCCCTGTGGACCAACGTAGCTATTACACGTTTTTTGTGAGACTGTGTTGGCTCAGCAACATTATTTAAACAATACGAAAATAACTTAAAGTGGACCTATCATGCTATATTTGAATAATATAGTGTAGGACCATACCTATATAAGGCATATTTATACTTTTTTTTTTTCAAAATACCAAACAGATCATGCATTTTAGCCATGCCTCATTTTGCTCAATTTGAAAAATGTTAGCTCTGTTTCTGCAAGGGCAGATTCAGTGAGAACAGCACCATCTACAGGCCTGGCATATGTACTACAGCGTCTACAGCGCTTTCGAACGGCAATGGCCGTGGCTGTCTCCTCCTGATTGGTGGAGTTGGCCCAATAGCCGTAGCGCCACCGTCCTGACGTCAGGACAGTGTTCAAATCTGGATCAGTTTTTATCAGATCCGTTGCAGCCCCTTTTTTAGAGATTTGGGTATGGAGGAAAATAGAGAGGGTTGTGTTTTCTGACACTTGGTGAGTTCCCTGGAACACCGGGGACACATATTCATGTATAAAAGACGTACAAAAGTGCATTTTGCATGATAGGTCCCCTTTAATGTAAAGTATTTATTTCACCTTCCGTTATTATACATCCATGGGTACAAGTCTGGACTGCGGCTGTTTGTTGATAAATTGATGTTGTCTTCTTCTGTTTGCTTTAATGTAGGCTACTTAGTTGTGCAGCGCCCCCACTGCCAGTAAATGGAAGTACTACAAAGAACCCTGTTAATTATGTGCAGTTATATCACAAGTTGTATTATATACACCTGGAAAAAATGACCGAGGACCTCAATGGTGGGTACGGCCATGGTGATGCCTTCCACCATTTAAATGATTGACTGTAGATAAATCACTGACTATGGATACGTTCCTCATGTAACCTCAATAAACACATCTCAACTAAACCTCTAACATTGTTTAAACGCATGAGCACTCTGCAAACAGATTCAGGCTTTGTGTCGGCTGGAGTTTGCTAACACATTAGCTTTAACAACTTTGAAAGGTCATGATAGCATTTTGGAAAAAGCCTCCTCTGCTCCCGACACTGAAAAAACTGAAACGTTGACTTTAATGAATCAGAATCAGGTTCAAGGTTATTGCCAGGTGCGTTTACACATACAAGGAATCTGATTCGGTATCTGGTGGTGCGAACAAAGATAATCTAAAAAGACAAGTTGAAAAGTATGTAAAAAAGAAATCTATAAGGATGATAATAAATAAGTATTTTTGCAATTTAGCATTAAAAAAGGATGCTTAAGTATTTACACCAAATTGAAATGTAACTACGAATAACCTTAAAAGTTAAAACACACAAAAAACGAAAACACAATTCAAGGTCATCGCACAACACACATCGAAATATCAACTCGTCTGGTGTTGAAAGTGGCTCTACAGTTATCAACAGAAGATGTAAAAAGTAATTTATAAGCACTTTTCTTTTTGTTCACAGTCTCAATTCTTCTACCTCAGCAGGATTATGATTTTCCAGGCAGCGGGGAGGAAGAGGAAGAGGAAGAGGAGGAGGAGGAAGAGGGGGAGGTTTTGGTCTTTTAACACTCTGCCCTCCTCACAGTCTCTCCTCTCTCTGCGTCCCATCGGCTGCTGAAGGACTTTCTCTCGGAGACAGAAAACCATCGGAGGACACGGACAACTTCTGCAGAGCGAGAGAGGACTCTGAAGAAAATGAAGTAAGTCCTTTTACAGCATATTTACTCATGACTCATTGTTTATACCAGTCTGCAGGGGTCGGGACTCGCGAGGGTTACTTTTCAAATCCAAAACGTAATCTGAGTATCACAATATAAGAGTAACCTGATTACTTTACTTTTGGATTCCCTACATATCAAATGCAATGCAGATAAATACAAGAGAAAGGACAGATTACTAAAATGTCTTTTTCTGTTTAAGACAACAGAAACAATGTGACCTTAGAAGAAGAAGAAAGCAAGATATTAAGGATCAAAATGTGTACTCTTTTTATCTTAGGCTATGCTTACAGAATAGTATAGTAATCAACGTTAAAAAAAATCTCTCTCTCAGCCTGTGTTATAATGGTTTTAGTGCATGTCAATGGTCTCAGAGACTGAAATCCCTGTTCCAGACTCTGAACATCAGCAGGAGAGGACTCTTTAAAGTAGAGACACTACATACTGATATACACCTGAACATCAGCAGAAGAGGACTCTTTAAAGTAGAGACACTACATACTGATATACACCTGAACATCAGCAGAAGAGGACTCTTTAAAGTAGAGACACTACATACTGATATACACCTGAACATCAGCAGGAGAGGACTCTTTAAAGTAGAGACACTACATACTGATATACACCTGAACATCAGCAGAAGAGGACTCTTTAAAGTAGAGACACTACATACTGATATACACCTGAACAATCAGCAGGAAGAGGACTCTTTAAAGTAGAGACACTACATACTGATATACACCTGAACATCAGCAGGAGAGGACTCTTTAAAGTAGAGACACTACATACTGATATACACCTGAACATCAGCAGGAGAGGACTCTTTAAAGTAGAGACCACATACTGATATACACCTGAACATCAGGCAGGAGACTCTTTAAAGTAGGAACATAGTGATATACACCTGACATCAGCAGGAGAGGACTAGAGACACTACATACTGATATACACCTGAACATCAGCAGGAGAGGACTCTTTAAAGTAGAGACACTACATACTAATATACACCTGAACATCAGCAGGAGAGGACTCTTTAAAGTAGAGACACTACATACTGATATACACCTGAACATCAGCAGGAGAGGACTCTTTAAAGTAGAGACTCTACATACTGATATACACCTGAACATCAGCAGGAGAGGACTCTTTAAAGTAGAGACACTACATACTGATATGCACCTGAAGATCAGCAGGAGAGGACTCTTTAAAGTAGAGACACTACATACTGATGTACACCTGAACATCAGCAGGAGAGGACTCTTTAAAGTAGAGACACTACATACTGATATACACCTGAACATCAGCAGGAGAGGACTCTTTAAAGTAGAGACTCTACATACTGATATACACCTGAACATCAGCAGGAGAGGACTCTTTAAAGTAGAGACACTACATACTGATATACACCTGAACATCAGCAGGAGAGGACTCTTTAAAGTAGAGACACTACATACTGATATACACCTGAACATCAGCAGGAGAGGACTCTTTAAAGTAGAGACACTACATACTGATATACACCTGAACATCAGCAGGAGAGGACTCTTTAGCCATAACTCCGTTTCGACGTCCTAGAGTCTTGGGGATGGTACCGTTGGATGTGGGGTACGTGAAAATGGGGGGGTGCAAACTGAGCCTGAACCGACCAGAGCTTCCTATCAAAAGTTAGGAATTTATAGCAGCTTTTTACACTTTGCCTTGACGGTCAAATTAAAGTAGAGACACTACATACTGATATACACCTGAACATCAGTATATCCTCTTTAAGCCAGAGTACTTCTACTTTGACTGAAGTGAAGCAGTATTTCTCCCTCTCCTAACATGGCTGCAGCTCCTTCCTGTGACCTCAACGTCTCCCAGTCTTTCTTCCTCTCTGTGTTTTTGTGAAAGCCTCCGCTGCTTTCAGCCCGGCTGCTTCGTGCTTCCTGTCATATTGTGTCTGTCGGGGGGGTCGGGTTGCCCCTGGAGATGGGGAGGCTGAGTCATGCGAGGTGGGGTGATGTGGGTTAGGGTGATGTAGGAGGTGATGTGAGGAAGAGAAGAAGAGAGGAGGACAGAGAGAGATTTAACCCTGTTCTCAGAGCGGAACATTTGTGGGAAAGACTAGGTAATTAACCCAGGAGCAGAGGGGACAATACTCAGATCTTGTACTTGAGTAAAAGTAGAAGTACTCAGATCTTGTACTTGAGTAAAATTAGAAGTACTCAGGTCTTGTACTTGAGTAAAAGTAGAAGTACTCAGATCTTGTACTTGAGTAAAAGTAGAAGTACTCAGATCTTGTACTTGAGTAAAATTAGAAGTACTCAGGTCTTGTACTTGAGTAAAAGTAGAAGTACTCAGGTCTTGTACTTGAGTAAAATTAGAAGTACTCAGATCTTGTACTTGAGTACAAGTAGAAGTACTCAGGTCTTGTACTTGAGTAAAATTAGAAGTACTCAGGTCTTGTACTTGAGTAAAATTAGAAGTACTCAGATCTTGTACTTGAGTAAAAGTAGAAGTACTCAGATCTTGTACTTGAGTACAAGTAGAAGGACTTAGATCTTGTACTTGAGTAAAAGTAGAAGTACTCAGATCTTGTACTTGAGGAAAAGTAGAAGTACTCAGATCTTGTACTTGAGGAAAAGTAGAAGTACTCAGATCTTGTACTTGAGTAAAAGTAGAAGTACTCAGATCTTGTACTTGAGTAAAAGTAGAAGTACTCAGATCTTGTACTTGAGGAAAAGTAGAAGTACTCAGATCTTGTACTTGAGTAAAAGTAGAAGTACTCAGATCTTGTACTTGAGTAAAAGTAGAAGTACCAGAGTGTAGGAATACTCTGTTACAGTAAAAGTCCTGCATTCAAAATGTTCCTCAAGTGAAAGTAGAAAAGTATTATCATCAAAATATAGTGAAAGTAGCGACAGTAAAAGTAGTCATTGTGCAGAATGGTCCATTTCAGAATAATATATATGATGTGTTTTATAATGATTGATCATGAAAGTGTTCTCAAAGCTGGTAAAGGTGCAGCTAGTTTGAATGACTTTGTATACTGCAGGGTAGCTTGTGGATGTACGTTCACAAAAAAAAATATCAAAAATTACAGGAAAGGATAGTAGCCTCTTTAATCCATGCAATTTAAACAGGTATACGTTTTATACAATCTCAACCTCACAACGAGTTAGTTAGCAATAAACTTTATTTCTGCTGTAAAGGGTACTTTAACATGGGGGTCTCTTTTCTTCAGGTAATCGTGCGTTGGCTTTTCTGGAGGTTTCCCTTTAGATGAGATGTGTGTGTGCTGCCCTCTCCTCACACTCTCTTAAAAGAGACACATTGGCCAAACTCTCATGCCTCTCCTTTAAGAAAGTAGTTCACTCCCTCTCCTCTCCCTCCTCTTCCTCACCCCTTCTCCCCTCATCCTCAAACGACCTCTCCTGGCAGACGGAGCGGTCAAACATCCTCTCTCTCTCTCTCTCTCTCTCTCTCTCTCTCTCTCTCTCTCTCTCTCTCTCTCTCTCTCTCTCTCTCTCTCTCTCTCTCTCTCTCTCTCTCTGCCACCGTCGCCTTTTCTCTCCCGGTGAGGTCATTGACTATTCAGACAAGTCTGATGTTGCTGGGATGCCTCCCCTTTTTCAGACTCTCGTTTTCTCCCTCTCCCCTCCTAACTGAGGCCATCAAACAACCCGAAAGTGTGTGTGTGTGTGTGTGTGTGTGTGTGTGTGTGTGTGTGTGTGTGTGTGTATGTGTGTGTGTGTGTGTGTGTGTGTGTGTGTGGGTGTGTGTGTGTGTGTGTGTGTGTGTGTGTGTGTGTGTGTGTGTGTGTGTGTGTGTTTCCTAGAAAGAGAAAGAGTGTGTCAGACAGATAACGAAATAACATAATAGAATCGTCTGGATGTATTCTCCCAGGTGAACTGTTTGTGTGTGCGGCCTGCAGGTGGAGCTCTGACAGGTCTCGCTGTGTCGGAGCTCACCTGCTGTTTCCTGTTTGTTTCGCTTTGTTTGTGCCGGGATGATCTGACAGAAAGGGTTTCATCATCCGTGGGATATGTCCTCAGGTCCCTGACGCACCAAACACACATCAAAAACTTGTGTTTTTCCTGAGTCTTGGCCAAAAAGGTGCACTTGAACACACCGCAAAGACTACAGCTAACAGTCCTGTATGTTTGGCGCCTGCATGAGAATAAATAGTATGTATTCATCAATCTTAAAGGTCCCCTATTATACTGTTTTTCGTCAATATATCACAGGTCTCAGATATATACAAAACCTGTCTCTGATTGGCTGAAACACCAAACAGATTTCCCATAATCCCCTCTGTTTCAGCCCTGTTTCAAAAGTGCAGATTCTATGTCTGTAGCTTTAAATGCTAATGAGCTGCTGCTGGCCACGCCCCTCTGAGAGATGATTGGTTTAAAAAAACACAATGGTGCTCTAGGAGGAGATTCAGGTGATAAGGTGAACCCTGAGTTGCTCCTGATGGCCAACGGTGTGTGAGAGTGTGTGAGTGTGTGAGTGTTAAGGCCCTAACACACCAAGCCAATTTCGGCCGTCGATAGATGTCTGGCCGTCGATGAGCGTCCTGTCGCCCTACTCAGATTGGTGTTTCCCGCACCGTAGTGTCTTTTCGGCTGTCAGCTAAATAAATCACTCTGATTTGCTGTTCAGCTTAGCGAATCAGTGCATGAGAAGCGAAACGGAAGTGAGGTACGGTACGCAAACAAACGATTAGGCACACACAGACAGCTATTATTTTTCCTTTTCATCTCACCTGGACGCAAGAATGATACGATTATAAGTCGCTATGTGAAACAGTCTGTGATGGACGAGAGTGAAAATGGAACGCACACGCTATTTGTTGTTTGTATATATCACGCGGTCTGTCTTCCGGTTGCGTCTTTTGAATGACGAATACACACTACCGCCGCCTGCTGGTAAGGAGAGTTATTGCCACTCACGCATGCGCAGTGCGTACGTGCTACTTGGGCGTGGCTGAAGTCTTTGCGGTGTGTTCCAGTGCGACTTTTTGGCCAAGACGCAGGAGACGTGAGGCGACACAACAGTCGGGGGTCCGTCGGGACGTGTTCTTTGGTATCAGTTTGGTGTGTCAGGACCTTTAGCTTCCCTAGAGCAAGTGGTGCTGCTCTGCATGAATGAGGTGTGAATGGGTGAATGACTCGTAGTATGTAAAGAGCTTTGAGGGGTCGAAAATACCTGATAAAGATATTTATAAGTACAGTCCTTTTACCATTTAGATATACACGCTGTTGTTATAAACCCATTAAAACATGTTCACACCACTCTTTCTCACCACTGTGTTAAAAGCAGATCTGTGTGTCAAACTCAAAACAGAAATAATCCTGCAGGGGCTGCAAATATGCCAAACTATTATAAGTTAGTCTCACAACGGTAAGTGTTTGTCAGTATATCTGAAATTACTAGGTTAGTAGGATGAGGTAGTCATGTGATCACATTGTTAAAATAATCCCATTAAACAGTATAAAAAGACAGTTGTCCAGCTTTATAATAAAGTTTTAACATACAGTAGGTATGTTAGATTCATTTTGTTGAATTTATAGTGACAAAGACTAGCAATGCAGTACATAAAAAGCAGGATAAAAAGGAGAGTGGATAGTGGGGATGAAAGCAGTGCTATTAACAGTAACTAACTGTATTGAAGTCGGAGCCTGGGCCTCAGTTCAGTTTTTTAAAGAATCAGGATTCAGATCACGCTCTGCAGCTCCTGAAGTCTGACTCACAGCGGATACAGAGCTGCAAGGACACACACACACACACACACACACACACACACACACACACACACACACACACACACACACACACACACACACACACACACACACACACACACACACACACACACACACACACACACACACACACAGATAACAAATCCCAGCATGTAAGACATATTTATAAAACCTCTCTGTTTTGCATCAGCTAAATGCAATGTAATGAAACAAACAGGAAACAGCAGGTGAGCTCCAACACAGCGAGACCTGTCAGAGCTCCACCTGCAGGCCGCATTCACAAACAGTTCACCTCTGAGAACACAGATAACAAATCCCAGCATGTACGACATATTTATAAAACCTCTTAGTTTTGGATATTTCATAATCTTTGTTTACTCTTTTTTAAATATTTAATCTTATTTAAATACTATCATGTTATATTTTTGCACACTATATAAAATTGCCTTTTATATCTCGTTGGGATAATACACATATTTTCCACTTTGAAAAGGGCACATTTTGTTACAGAAATTGGTCCTATCTAATATTCTGAATGGCCAGTTCCCTATAATACAGTCTGAAGCTTGTGTATCAAATGTTATCCTAAAATTCAACCTGTTTTCAAAGTGTATTCATCTCTAATATTGGTGTCATAACAGTGTAATGTGTGTGTAATGTGAAAAACAGCAATCACATGACGTTGACATATTAAACACATCAATATGTCTGTTGGAGGGTTCATTTGCCAGCTGTCCTTTAACCTTTAACTACACAAAATGTCAGGAAGATCACGAGTAGTTCGCTCTTTCTCTTGGTGAAATGTAATCTGTTTATTAAATACCAGCATCTTAGTTTACACTGACATGTCGATTTGTTTTGGTTCAACTTTTTCAGAATTTTGTGTGAGTACATATTAAGTGAATATTTTCTGTGCAGTCCAGATGTTCCCGTCATATTAAATATCAAACATTGCCTGCCCCCCACAGACTGGATGTGTCTCTTCCTGTTCTGCTGCTGCTCTCCATCTGTTTCCACCTGACGACGTCCTCCACCCACCTCCAGGACTCAGGTACCCCCCCCCCGCCCCTAGAGAAAAGTACACACATCCTTTACTGAGGTAGAAGTACAGATACTCGTGTTTAAAAATACTTTGGTAAAAGTAGAAGTACTGACTAAACTTCTTTACTCAAGTAAAAGTAAAGAGGGCTTTGAAATGTACTTCAGTAAAAAGTACCCATAACTAGCAGCTGTTTTAAAGAGTACCTGACCTCCCTTTATATTAATAGAACAATAATGTCATTGTTAGCTAATGAATGTTTCCATGCTGAACAACGGCAACATGACAACGTTTTCATTGGTTCCTCTTCTTTAGAGAAGACCAGGAAATGATGGATACACGGATCGTGTTCAAATCAATAGGCACGCAATGACTCTAAATAATAATGATCACGCCACCAAACACACATTCAAACTAAAGGAACCAGCCTGTTTGGAAAATGTGAGAAGTAGAAAGTACAGGTATTTGGGTTCAACATGTAAGAAGTAGAAAGTACAGGTATTTGTGTTCAACATGTAAGAAGTAGAAAGTACAGGTATTTGTGTTCAACATGTAAGAAGTAGAAAGTTCAGGTATTTGTGTTCAAAATGTAAGAAGTAGAAAGTTCAGGTATTTGTGTTCAAAATGTAAGAAGTCAAAGTAAAAAGTCGTCAGAAAAATAAGTAGTGGAGTAAAGTACTGATACCAGAAAGATGTACTTAAGTACAGTAACAAAGTATTTGTACTCCCCCCCCCCCCGCCCCCCCCCCCCACCCCCCACAATGCTGCATTTAATCACACACGACCTCTGACTCTGAGGTCATCACGGCGCTGTTTAATCATTTCCTGTCGTCGTTGATTTCGCTGACACGCACTCTCTGGAGGCCGTTTCAGGGTGACTTTAACTTACACCGAGAGCCACGTTCAGAAAGGGCCGGGCCGCTCACTAGAGGTATACTGCCTCATAAGTTAAGTTTTAAGTTTGCAAAATCAATCAAATGTAGGTACTCCACTTCTTATTTTTCTGACGACTTTTTACTTTGACTTCTTACATGTTGAACACAAATACCTGTACTTTCTACTTCTTACATGTTGAACACAAATACCTGTACTTTCTTCTTCTTACATGTTGAACACAAATACCTGAACTTTCTACTTCTTACATGTTGAACCCAAATACCTGTACTTTCTACTTCTTACATGTTGAACACAAATACCTGTACTTTCTACTTCTTACATGTTGAACACAAATACCTGTACTTTCTACTTCTTACATGTTGAACACAAATACCTGTACTTTCTACTTCTTACATTTTGAACACAAATACCTGAACTTTCTACTTCTTACATGTTGAACACAAATACCTGTACTTTCTACTTCTTACATGTTGAACACAAATACCTGTACTTTCTACTTCTCACATGTTGAACACAAATACCTGTACTTTCTACTTCTTACATGTTGAACACAAATACCTGTACTTTCTACTTCTTACATGTTGAACACAAATACCTGTACTTTCTACTTCTCACATTTTCCAAACAGGCTGGTTCCTTTAGTTTGAATGTGTGTTTGGTGGCGTGATCATTATTATTTAGAGTCATTGCGTGCCTATTGATTTGAACACGATCCGTGTATCCATCATTTCCTGGTCTTCTCTAAAGAAGAGGGACCAATGAAAACGTTGTCATGTTGCCGTTGTTCAGCATGGAAACATTCATTAGCTAACAATGACATTATTGTTCTATTAATATAAAGGGAGGTCAGGTAATCTTTAAAACAGCTGCTAGTTATGGGTACTTTTTACTGAAGTACATTTCAAAGCCCATACTTCTTTACTTTTACTTGAGTAAAGAAGTTTAGTCAGTACTTCTACTTTCATCAGAGTATTTTTAAACACGAGTATCTGTACTTCTACTTGAGGAAAAGATGTGTGTACTTTTGCCCTCTCTGAAAATAACTCATGCACAGATTTCTTTGACCTCCAGCTCCTTTGCTGCCTCTTTCCTCCCCAGATGGCTCTCAGCTCCTGCAGGTGAGCATCCCCTCCCCCCCCCCAGTGCCTCCGGTGCTGGGCGGCTCCCTGACGCTACCCTGCCTGGTGTCCCTGCCCCCCCCCGCCCTCCGCCTCCTCCAACGGGCGGCACGCCGTGCTGACGCTGCCCCGGGTCAAATGGAGCGTCTTGACTCAGGGCCACGAGGCGGAGATCCTGGTGGCGCGGGGGGACAGGGTGAGGGTCAGCGAGGCGTTCAGGGACCGGGCCTCGTTGCTGCACTACGCCTCGTCCCCTGCAGACCTCACGCTGCGGCTCGAGCGCCTGCAGCACAACGACACCGGGTTCTACCGCTGCGAGGTGACGCAGGGGCTGGAGGACGCACACGACCTCGCCCAGGTCAAGGTCAAAGGTGAGGGGGACACTGGAAAAAATCAAAAATTCATAAATATCAAAAAAGTTAAATCCAAAAAGTAAAAAAAGATATACAAGCAAGATTTGTTGCCATGATTAAAATGTTGTATACAGTGGTGCAGTAAAGACGTATTTTTAAAGAGGAACCGGAAACACCAGTTTATGAATTTTAAAGGTCTCCTATTATGCTATTTTTAGGCATATATTGGTGAGTTCCTTTTTTTATTTCCTGCTTTTTTACTCATACTCTCTCCGGTACAGGTTAGCTCTGAGTGTTAGCGATGCTTGCTAATGTAAACAAAGACCATATTACGTCCAAAACACGTCACGCTTCTTTTTACCCCCGTTTTTAGAGATGTGGGTAAGGAGGAAAAGAGAGAGGGTTTTGTTTTCTTCGTGAGTTCCCCGACACACCGGGAACACATATTTATGTATAAAAGACATCAAAAAGTGCAGTTTGCATGATAGGAGACCTTTAAAGTAAAAGGCTATGGCTTGGCTGTAAAGGAACTGCAGCAATATGTTATCTTGTCCTTTTGAACAAAAGATGGGAGATGATTAATTTCTAATATCTATTTTGATTTGAACTTCAACACAAAACCCAGATTTCTAAAATTGCTGCTTTTTTTTCTCCCAGGTGTGGTGTTCCACTATCGTGACGCCTCCAGTAGGTACAACTTCACCTTTGAGCAAGCAAGAGATGCCTGCGCAGAGATCGGGGCGGAGATGGCGTCTCCGGAGCAGCTGGAGGCCGCGTACCACAGCGGATACGAGCAGTGTGACGCCGGCTGGCTCTCCGACCGCTCCGTGAGGTGAGAGAAGAAGTGTCAAATGATCATATAATCATTTAAAGGGGACCTATCATGCAAAATGCACTTTTTAATGTCCTTTATACATCAATATGTGTCCCTGATATGTGAGCTGATTTGCGTCCGATATGAAGTAATATCTAAAATGTGGGCGGGCTTTACACCCACGGGCCTATCAGAAACGTTGCTGTCAGAAACAATGCGCGATGTGTTTTGAACGTAATATGGTCTGTGTTTACATTAGCATGCTAACACTCAGAGCTAACCTGTACTGGAGAGAGTATGTGTAAAAACGCAGGAAATAAAAAGGAACTCACCTTGTGTATAACCGGCAAGAGAGAAAGCCTTTGAGCTCCATACTGTTTCAGAAATAATCCTTGATGTGGTTTGGAACATAATATGGCGTTTAATCACGGGAGCATTTAGCTGAGTTTCTGCTGGTAGAATTCCCCCTTATGAGCTCCCCCTCCTCTTTTTATTTTATTATTATATATATATTTTTTAAAGCTTTATACCCAGAATCAGCACTTTAGTAACAGGGCTGAAATAGAGGGATATGAGGCATGGCTAGAATGGGTGATCTGTTTGGTATTTTGAGCAAAACACTTCATAGATATGTTTTTTATATATCTTTATATATCTAAGACCTATAATATATGCCTAAACATAGCATGCTAGGAGATCTTTAAGTCCAGTTGTCCAAGAGAAGCTTTGCAGCAGAGAGTCATCTTCCAGCCAATGATGTTGGGACACATCGCACTACACCGGAGTAGAGGGAAACTCAGCATGTTGTGATCATTAGGGAAAGAAATAGCTTTTTGAATATTAAAGCATGGAGACATGTCCCAGTAGAGACACAACATACTAATATGAGCATGAAAATGATCAGAAAAGGCCCCTTTAGAGCAACATTTAATGCAATAATGTTAGGGACATACCGTATTGAGTTGTGAATTTGCAGTAATTGATATTTTCCGCGCAGGTATCCGATCCAGATGCCCAGAGAGGGATGCTTCGGGGACATGGATGGATTACCGGGAGTGAGGAATTATGGGATGTTAGAGCCCGACGAGCTGTACGACGTCTACTGCTACGTGGAGAATATCGATGGTAACTACAAATAACTAACTCACAAAATTCAGTGACCACCAATCGTGGAAAAACATTGATATTTAGAGTGAAAGTAAAGATAATCAAATGCTTTATAATGTGCTTTTATTATGGTTTTTATCTGATTTTACAGATTATAGATCGATATGAACGTTGAATGAACGATAAAGAGTGTTACTCAAAACTTTTTGCCAGCAGTTTTAATTACTGGGATTGGTACTGGAGTGTTAAACTAATCCCAGTTTGACCCACTTACACTCCTGTTCTGTGCTGTTTTTGTTTGGTTTAGTTTCAATGAAATGCTAAAAAAAACCTACAGTGATAGTTTAGAAATTAGGAGGCTTTTTCAACTGACGCAAAGTCCCTCTGCTCTAAACCAGCTCCATAAAGAATGAATACTTGTTGGTGTAACAGACCATAAAACAAGAGAAGGAACAAAAGAAAATGTGAATTAATATATTAATTGCTAGTGACTTATCCGACCGGCCCACATCGGTACCGCAAGTAAATACCGCTAGTCAATTGTCGACGAGGGGGGGAGGGTGCTAGTGACTTATTCGACCGGCCCACATCGTCCGACCGGCCCACTTCAGTACCGGCCCATCAGGATTCGTTCCGAACGTCCCGATGGCCAGTCCGCCACTGGACCGTGCTGTAGTTCCTTTATAGCCCAACATTAGCCGCCTTTAGCTTAGCAGTGGTGACGTGAAGTCATGTGACCGTGCTGTAGTTCCTTTATAGCCCAACATTAGCCACCCTTAGCTTAGCGGTTGTGAAGTGAAGTCATGTGACCGTGCTGTAGTTCCTTTATAGCCCAACATTAGCTGCCTTTAGCTTAGCGGTGGTGACGTGAAGTCATGTGACCGTGCTGTAGTTCCTTTATAGCCCAACATTAGCCGCCTTTAGCTTAGCGGTGGTGACGTGAAGTCATGTGACCGTGCTGTAGTTCCTTTATAGCCCAACATTAGCCGCCTTTAGCTTAGCGGTGGTGACGTGAAGTCATGTGACCGGTGCTGTAGTTCCATTATAGGCCAACATTAGCCGCCTTTAGCTTAGCGGTGGTGACGTGAAGTCATGTGACCGTGCTGTAGTTCCATTATAGGCCAACATTAGCCGCCTTTAGCTTAGCGGTGGTGACGTGAAGTCATGTGACCATGCTGTAGTTCCATTATAGGCCAACATTAGCCGCCTTTAGCTTAGCGGTGGTGACGTGAAGTCATGTGACCGTGCTGTAGTTCCATTATAGGCCAACATTAGCCGCCTTTAGCTTAGCGGTGGTGACGTGAAGTCATGTGACCGTGCTGTAGTTCCATTATAGGCCAACATTAGCCGCCTTTAGCTTAGCGGTGGTGACGTGAAGTCATGTGACCATGCTGTAGTTCCATTATAGGCCAACATTAGCCGCCTTTAGCTTAGCGGTGGTGACGTGAAGTCATGTATCCGTGCTGTATATAACTTTCGTTATCCGATGTACAATTGAGCTATCTAAACTACAACAACCCCCTGACGTCTCTGAGATCTTGACACCTTTCCCCTTGTGTACAGGTGAGGTGTTCCATGACTCCGCCCCCCAGCGCTTCACGTTCTGGCAGGCGAAGGCTTTCTGCCTGAGTCACGGGGCGGAGCTGGTCACCACGGCTCAGCTCTACGCCGCCTGGAGCGACGGCTTGAACCTCTGCAGCCCGGGGTGGCTTGCGGACGGCAGCGTGCGATACCCCATCGTCACCCCTAGGGAGCGCTGTGGGGGGGGGGGAGCCCGGAGTCAGGACCGTGTATCGCTACAGCAACCAGACCGGCTTCCCCGAGCCCCACACACTGCACGACGTCTACTGCTTCAAACGTGAGAGACATGTTGAAGATTTAAAGCAATTCCTCCCACTTATCTTACAAAAAAACTGGTTCAAAACTGACTGATTTACTACTTTCATGAATCATATATATAGTGTTTTAGGGTTTATCTGATTTCTTCAAAGCCTTATGATGTTCTCCACAGTAGGAATTTCAACAAATTGAATTGCTGATCACCACTTTAATTTAATTTTTAGTGTTTGGTCAACTTTGTAACACATACAGTATGGTGCCGGTCAAAAATGACCACCATAGGAAATGAATGGGTAACCCTATATTATGTTTAAACATCAGAGAGTAAACACACACACAAATTGACTACATTTGGGAGTGTGTACTTTGTACATTTGTGTATTATCATTTGTGTATTATCATTAGTGTACTATCATTTAGACACTGAATACATATTAAATCTTCTTTGTACATTCACTGCAGTTATTCATGAAACCAGTAGTCTGAGACATTGTTTACAGATTAAAAGTGTGTTAAATACAATTTGGTGATGATTCATGTTTTTTGTGTTAATGTAAGAGCAGTTAAATTCGACCGGTCAAAAACGTATTTTTCGTATAAAAACAGGCAGCTTCATGAAGTAAATGTGTTTTACTTTGTGTAACTATGGAACAAACCTGGGTGGATTTATTAGATTAATAGCAATTCATCTATTGCATCAATCAACAAAATATGCATTATTTAAAACTTCTCTTTGGTTAACAGCTGTTGAAGTCATTTTGATTACATTTCTGCTCTTTATTCCAGGAAATAACGGCCCTTACACGGACTCTCCTCTGGACTTCCTCTCCACTGAGCCCGAGGACATCGGCCAGGACGTCGTGTTCTTCACCGACCCTTCAGAGGAGGAGGGGTTCAGCAACAGCGAGGCGACGGAAAAGAGCCACGAAGAAATCCTCCACGCCCAGACGGACAATCCTCTCAAACACGTTCCTGTGCAGCAGATTACACTCGGATTCAACCAGGAAGCACCCAGTTCTCTGTCTGTCACTCAAACATCTGAGCATCCAGACTCCAGAGGGGAGGAGAGAGAGAAGGAAAGCTTCCCGGAGGCATATCATCCGGCACCTGATGAGGAAAACACTGAAGAGTCTCCAACAGCTTCTCCACAAAGTGTTGATGGAGCCTCCAGTTTACCCACAACACCGGAAGAGCCCTCAGAGCATCCTTTTACTGTCACCGAAACAACGGATACTTTAAATGCAACATCTGCATCTCATATTTCTATCACCGAAACAACTCCAGCTGTAATGCAAAAATTGCATCTCATATTTCTATCACCACCGAAACCACGGATACTTTAAAAATGCAACACCTGCATCTCATATTTCTATCACTGAAAACACTCAAGCTGTAAAATGCAACACCTGCATCTCATATTTTCTGTCACTGAAACAACGGATACTTTAAATGCAACACCTGCATCTCATATTTCTATCAACCGAAAACAACTCCAGCTGTAAATGCAAAATTGCATCTCATATTTCTATCACTGAAACACCTCCAGCTTAAATTGCAAACACCTGCATCTCATATTCTAGCACACCCGAAACAACTCCATCCTGTAATGCAAATTGCATCTCAGATGTGATAACTGGAAACAACTCCAGCTGAATGAAACATCTGCATATCATATTCTATCACCTGGAAACAACGGATCAGCTGTAAATTGCAACACCTGCCATCTCATATTCTAGTCATCCGAAACAACGGATACTTTAAAATGCAACACCTGCATCTCATATTTCTAGTCTCCTGAACACGGATACTTTAAAATGCAACACCTGCATCTCATATTTCTTAATCACTGAAACAACGGATACTTTAAATGCAACACCTGCATCTCATATTTCTATCACCGAAACAACGGATACTTTAAATGCAACATCTGCATCTCATATTTCTATCACCGAAACAACGGATACTTTAAATGCAACACCTGCATCTCATATTTCTGTCTCCGAAACAACGGATACTTTAAATGCAACACCTGCATCTCATATTTCTATCACTGAAACAACGGATACTTTAAATGCAACACCTGCATCTCATATTTCTATCACCGAAACAACGGATACTTTAAATGCAACACCTGCATCTCATATTTCTGTCACCGAAACAACGGATGCTTTAAATGCAACATCTGCATCTCATGCGTACGAGCTCCTCAGCAGCTCTCCAGATGCTCCCCATGAGGTTGACCTTCCCGTTTCACATACTCCTGAAGCTGAGCTCGTCCACTCAAGTGTTTCAGAAGCCAGCGCTGCTCCCTTGGAGGAGACATCTGCATCGAACACACAGGAAACAGATGTTCTCTCCGACGCCCCGCAGCCTGATCTCAGCACGCCTGAGATCTACCCGACAGAAGAGGAGCAGGTGACCCGGGTTCTGGAGCTGGAAACTCAAAAGCCTTTCACTCAAAGTTCAGGTGTTCTTGAAACCTCTGCAGCCTCTGAACTGCTGCCTACGTCGGCTTCAGGTGAGAACAAAGAAGATTAAAGTGACACATTTACCGAGAGGTTCCTCGTGTCGTCACAATACTGGAATACCGTTTAGTTTTTTTACATTTTATCCTACTTTTAGGGTTAGGGTTAGGGTTACTAAGTACAAGATCTGAGTACGTCTACTTATACTCAAGTACAAGATCTGAGTACGTCTACTTATACTCAAGTACAAGATCTGAGTACGTCTACTTATACTCAAGTACCGGATCTGACTACTTCTACTTTTACTCTAGTACAAGATCTGAGTACTTCTACTTTTACTCTAATACAAGATCTGAGTACTCCTTAAAACTCTGCATATCGTACTTCTTAGTCTAGATAATAAGGATATTTCCTGCTCTAGTTTTTCCATTTTCAACTCTGTATAATTTCTGATCTGATCTGTTTTCTCTGCAGGTTATGATCTCACTGCAGAGCCTCCGGGTGTTTCTGTGGAGTCGCCCTCCCTCGGAGATGGAGCTGATTTGACCTCCAGCAGCTCTTCAGAGGAGGCAGCAACACATCCTCCCCCCGGAGACCTCCACCCTGCAGAGACCCTCCTCACCACAGGTGGGATCATGCAAAATGCACTTTTGTACGTCTTTTCTACATGAATATGTGTCCCCGGTGTTCCAGGGAACTCACCAAGTGTCAGAAAACACAACCCTCTCTATTTTCCTCCATACCCAAATCTCTAAAAAAGGGGCTGCAACGGATCTGATAAAAACTGATCCAGATTTGAACACTGTCCTGACGTCAGGACGGTGGCGCTACGGCTATTGGGCCAACTCCACCAATCAGGAGGAGACAGCCACGGCCATTGCCGTTCGAAAGCGCTGGAGACGCTGTAGTACATATGCCAGGCCTGTAGATGGTGCTGTTCTCACTGAATCTGCCCTTGCTAAAACAGATCTAAAAAATGTCAAATTGAGCAAAATGAGGCATGGCTAAAATGCATGATCTGTTTGGTATTTTGAAAAAATATATATATAAATATGCCTCATATAGGTATGGTCCTACACTATATTATTCAAATATAGATAGGTCCACTTTAAGTACATTTTTTTGGTATCAGTACTTTACTCCACCACTTATTTTTCTGACAACTTTTTACTTTTACTTCTTACATGTTGAACTCAAATACCTGTACTTTCTACGTCTTACATTTTCCAAACAGGCTGGTTCCTTTAGTTTGAATGTGAGTCATTGCGTGCCTATTGATTTGAACACGATCCGTGTATCCATCATTTCCTGGTCTTCTCTAAAGAAGAGGGACCATTACCGCTTTCACACCAAGTACTTTGCCGTACTTAGTTCCCAGCACTTAGTTCCCAGCACTTAGTTCCCAGCACTTAGTTCCCAGCACTTAGTGCCAGCACTTAGTACCCCCATGGAACTAAAGAGCAGATCGCGTTCACACCAGAATAAGTTCCCTGAGGGAAGATTACGCAAATGAAGCCGCTGACGTCACTTCTTCTTCTGCTTTGGGTTTACTGGCAGGCCGCAAACCACTTCACGACGTATACTGCCACCCGAAGTCCCCGGCCGGAAGTCCCCGGAGTTGGGGACTGGCTTCAGTAGAAGCTGCTGGGACTCCCAGCAGCTTCTACTGAAGCCTTCTGAGTAAATCGCCAGAACGCCGACACCTCCTCATCTCCACCGCTCCCATGTTTCTTTTGTGTTGCCATAAGTTATTCTCTCTCCGTTGGTGCGCGGGGCTAATGCTAATGCTAATAATGCTAATGCCAGCAAATACAATGGCGGCTTCAAAAAACTTTTCCGAGTTTTACGGGGCGTGGTTTGCAATTCGCCCAGCTAATCAGAAATTGGAACTTTTTTCTCCCAGGAAAGTCCCACCTCTCTAGCAGGCACAAAAAAGGGGGGGAAAAGTTCTCATGAACTAAGTTCTGTTTTTGGTGTGAACGCAAAATCCCAGGAACTAAACGGGTACTCCGGTGTGAACGCGCCTAATGAAAACGTTGTCATGTTGCCGTTGTTCAGCATGGAAACATTCATTAGCTAACAATTACATTATTGTTCTATTAATATAAAGGGAGGTCAGGTACTCTTTAAAACAGCTGCTAGTTATGGGTACTTTTTACTGAAGTACATTTCAAAGCCTCTTTACTTTTACTTGAGTAAAGAAGTTTAGTCAGTACTTCTACTTTCACCAGAGTATTTTTAAACACGAGTATCTGTACTTCTACTTGAGTAAAGGATGTGTGTACTTCTGCCCTCTCTGCTCCTCACAGACTCCTCCAGTGTCACCTCCTTCACCTCCTTCACCTCCTTCCCCTCCTCTGCTCCTGTCACCCTGTCCACAGAGAATACAACAGAACATCTGGAGGAGAAGCAGGAGGATTTGAGAGAAGTTTTCCTCAGCACCACCCAGAATATCTTCCACTTTGGTTCTACGGAGAAGGAGCATGAGGACGGCGGAGAAGGATCAGCTGAATCCTCAGGAGAAAACACGGAGGTCACGTCTTCGCTCTTTCTGACAAATCCCACTTTTGCCCACAGTGAGGGGGAGGAGGCCACCGACGCTCCTCCCCCTTCTGAGGTTAAAATCACACTCCTCCCTAGACTGAGCCTCTCCCCCGGCTGGGAGCAAGATCCATCCTCTTCCTCTTCCTCCTCTTCTTCCTCCTCTTCCTCCTCCACGCTACAGGAGTCCCGCTCTGATGTGGAGTTCAGCGCCATGCCTCCTGCAGCCGAGGAAGAGGAGGAAGAGAAGGAGGAAGAGGAGGAGATCTCCACCAGCAGCATGCATGGTGAGTTTCAAGGTCCATTAAAAGCTGGGAGAAGTACTCAGATCTTGTACTTTAGTAAAAGTAGAAGTACTCAGATCTTGTACTTTAGTAAAAGTAGAAGTACACAGATATTGTACTTGAGTAAAAGTAGAAGTACTCAGATCTTGTACTTTAGTAAAAGTAGAAGTACTCAGATCTTGTACTTAGTAAAAGTAGAAGTACTCAGATCTTGTACTTTAGTAAAAGTAGAAGTACTCAGATCTTGTACTTAGTAAAAGTAGAAGTACTCAGATCTTGTACTTTAGTAAAAGTAGAAGTACTCAGATCTTGTACTTGAGTACAAGTAGAAGTATGCCTAAAAAAAAGCTGAAGTTGTCTGCATTAGAAAATAAACGGTCTCTACAGATCCTGGATCAGAGGGGGAGAGCAGCACTGACGATCCCTCAGGTAAATTCTGCACGATGCCTCCAGGTGAGGAGGACAGCGGGGGCCTGACGGTCTCCAGAGAAGATGTGACCCCCCCCCCTATATTCCCGGGGTCTTCAGCCATGGCCGCCTCCAGATATACTTCAGGTACCTGACCTCCAGAAAAGACTATAATATATATTAAAAAGCGTTCATATGACATTTAAAGGGGCTCTATTGCTCATGTTCAGATGTATATCAGTATGTAGTGTCTCTACTTTAAAGAGTCCTCTCCTGCTCATGTTCAGGTGTATATCAGTATGTAGTGTCTCTACTTTAAAGAGTCCTCTCCTGCTGATGTTCAGGTGTATATCAGTATGTAGTGTCTCTACTTTAAAGAGTCCTCTCCTGCTGATGTTCAGGTGTATATCAGTATGTAGTGTCTCTACTTTAAAGAGTCCTCTCCTGCTGATGTTCAGGTGTATATCAGTATGTAGTGTCTCTACTTTAAAGAGTCCTCTCCTGCTGATGTTCAGGTGTATATCAGTATGTAGTGTCTCTACTTTAAAGAGTCCTCTCCTGCTGATGTTCAGGTGTATATCAGTATGCAGTGTCTCTACTTTAAAGAGTCCTCTCCTGCTGATGTTCAAGTGTATATCAGTATTTAGTGTCTCTACTTTAAAGAGTCCTCTCCTGCTGATGTTCAGGTGTATATCAGTATGTAGTGTCTCTACTTTAAAGAGTCCTCTCCTGCTGATGTTCAGGTGTATATCAGTATGTAGTGTCTCTACTTTAAAGAGTCCTCTCCTGCTGATGTTCAGGTGTATATCAGTATGTAGTGTCTCTACTTTAAAGAGTCCTCTCCTGCTGATGTTCAGGTGTATATCAGTATGTAGTGTCTCTACTTTAAAGAGTCCTCTCCTGCTGATGTTCAGGTGTATATCAGTATGTAGTGTCTCTACTTTAAAGAGTCCTCTCCTGCTGATGTTCAGGTGTACATCAGTATGTAGTGTATCTACTTTAAAGAGTCCTCTCCTGCTGATGTTCAGGTGTATATCAGTATGTAGTGTCTCTACTTTAAAGAGTCCTCTCCTGCTGATGTTCAGGTGTATATCAGTATGTACTGCCTGTGCTGCAGCACCTCTTGTCACCCTCTGTCTGAAACCAGGGAACACAGGGATTTCAGCCTTTGCAGACCATTTACATGCACTAAAGAACACGTCACAGGAAAGGGAAAACCCAAAAAGCACAATAGGACCTCTTTAAGTATATCAAACACAGTAATTACAATTAAAATACAATTAAAACAAGCTAGAATAGAAAAAGACAGGCATGATGTATTACAGGGTTTTTTCTTAACAGCTGTTTGCGTGTTTTATCTCTGACGTGTGTTTCTGAAAATGCTTCATCAGGAGAGATTGTGCTGAACGTAACACCTCCCGCTGACTCAGCACCACGGAGAGATTAGCTCAGATTTTAAATTAAAACTCTGAGAACTGTAACACAGTGTTTCATAAGAGGGTTTCACTTTGTTGGAGAAACATAACAAACACACAGTAAAAGTTACGCAACCTTTTTTTGACACCTTGTCATTATTGCTGACTCAACAATGCATCTTTACCTGTTGGTCACTTACCTGATGTAACAGCTACCTCTGCTGGTAGCAACATAGCATTTTTCTGATGCTCACTTTAACTATTTTTATATAACAAGCTTTATTTCATTCTATTTTTTGTTGTTCATATTTACTTTAAATTCTCATATTAATAAAACTTTTTATTAATTTTTTATTTATTTTGCACACTCTTGATTTAACTTCTTATTTTCTTATTTTTATATAAATGTTTTATTTAATTTAACTTAATATTTGATTGGATATTTTTACTTTAAATCCTAATGTTTATTTAAATATATTTTTATAATGTAATTGCCCTTACTTTAACTTCTTATGTTAAGATACACAATTTATTTTATTTGATATTTTATGGCAAATTCTTAGTTTAGCTGTTATGTCTATATACATATATATAGTTTTTATTTTATATATTTTTTAACATTTTTACTTTATTGTTTATAGAAATATCTTATACTAATTTATTATTTTTCCTTCCTTTAACTATTATTTTATATTAATAATTCATACTTTTTTTGTTTGAAATATATTGGGTCTTTGACACTTTCACTTAAAATGATTATGTATACATAAATATCTTATTCTATTTTATTTAATATTTTGTATTCACATTATTACTTTCTTTATTTGACTGTTTTATTTGATTTGATCATTTATTGCAATTATTTACTTTAACTTGTAAGTTTAGTTCATTTGATCTTTTATTGGACATTTTAAGTTAACATTTTTATTGCATATTCTTACTTATTATTATTTTAATAATTAATTATATTTTATTTATTTGATCTTTTACACATTCTAGCTTTAACTTCTAATATTTATTTATATTTAATTTCATTCACCTTAACTGTGGACCAATCATTTCAGATTGGAGCCAAACTCGATTTCCCCCAGAATGACTTTAATAGATTATTGATAATTATTCTCCCTGCAGACTCGTGTGCTGAGAGTCCGTGTCTCAACGGAGGAACCTGTGTTGACGGTGAACCAACTATCTGCATCTGTTTACCCGGTTACCATGGAGACCTCTGCCAGACAGGTGCAGTGATTCATAAACATAGAGACCCTCAATCAGAGGGAGAAGAAGTACTCAGATGTTGTACTTGAGTAAAAGTAGAAGTACTCAGATGTTGTACTTGAGTAAAAGTAGAAGTACTCAGATCTTGTACTTGAGTAAAAGTAGAAGTACTCAGATCTTGTACTTGAGTAAAAGTAGAAGTACTCAGATCTTGTACTTGAGTAAAAGTAGAAGTACTCAGATGTTGTACTTGAGTAAAAGTAGAAGTACTCAGATCTTGTACTTGAGTAAAAGTAAAAGTACTCAGATCTTGTACTTGAGTAAAAGTAGAAGTACTCAGATCTTGTACTTGAGTAAAAGTAGAAGTACTCAGATCTTGTACTTGAGTAAAAGTAAAAGTACTCAGATCTTGTACTTGAGTAAAAGTAGAAGTACTCAGATCTTGTACTTGAGTAAAAGTAGAAGTACTCAGATCTTGTACTTGAGTAAAAGTAGAAGTACTCAGTTCTTGTACTTGAGTAAAAGTAGAAGTACTCAGATCTTGTACTTGAGTAAAAGCAGAAGTACCAGAGTGTAGGAATACTCTGTTACAGTAAAAGTCCTGCATTCAAAATGTTCCTCAAGTAAAAGTATAAAAGTATTATCATCAAAATATAGTGAAAGTAGCGACAGTAAAAGTAGTCATTGTGCAGATTGGTCCATTTCAGAATAATATATATGATATGTTTTATAATGATTGATCATGAAAGTGTTCTCAAAGCTGGTAAAGGAGCAGCTAGTTTGAATGACTTTGTATACTGCAGGGTAGCTTGTGGATTTACTCCAGGTGGAACTAAAGTCTGATTTAACACTTGGTTATATTTCACATCATTCATCCACATCTGTGAAGGAACTAAATGTATTCAATACATGTAGTGGAGGAAAAGTACAAAGTAGCAAAACATGGAAATACTCAATTAAAGCACAAGTACCTCAAAAGTGTACTGACCTGCACATAACCCCCTCTCCTACGTATTGACCCTCTGATGTTGCTCCTGTCTTCAGACGTGGAGCTGTGTGAGGCCGGCTGGCAGAAGTTCCAGAGCTTCTGTTACCGACACTTTGTGAAGAGGCAGAGCTGGGAGGCGGCGGAGCAGCACTGCCGCATGTGTGGAGGACACCTGCTGTCAGTCATGACCCCCGAGGAGCAGCTGCACATCAACGGTACACTGACACAATATTACTGTTAGAAAAGTCTCACTATTCACCGGCTTGAGCTTCAATCTCAGGATCCATGTATCTATGATCCTCTCCAGAATGGAAGTAGTCATCACATACAGAGCATCAACTAGTTCCTGAACAGTGTCCTTCACATGCTGATATCCAAGAGAGGGAGTTACACAGTCACAAGATGGAGGAATAGAAAGCAGTATTCAATGTTTACTTCAGATTAGCTCCACGTCAGAAATGAGCATGCTTGTCATATGTCTATCTCCATAGAGGCTGAATCATCATGTTAATCACATAGCTATCATATGCCTCAAACAGTCCTGATGCTCTTCTAGGTAATCATACATCCTGTCATGTACACAGCTACAGTTGGGATACCTTTGTTATCATGTTGCTCTCATGTTGGAAGAGGACATTCAGTAATGAGTGCTAATTGGTTTCTATCTTAAATTAAAGGGAATATCTGTCAGGTTTCATGGCAACACAAGACCTTTTTCAATGCAATGGAGTTTCAAAAACTACGATGCACATTTTTCACCGTTTTATTTACATTTTATAAACCGTTAATCAATTAAACCCAAATTAAACTTAAATGAAAATGTTTATTCGGTGCAGCCATAGAACATGTTTTTTTGCAGCAGATATCATCAAACTGATCTTTGGTGCTTCGTATTCAGACGAAATCCAAAGAGAAGTTTTCCCATCTCTCAGATCTGTCCAGACACAACAACAACCTTTCATGTCTTCCCTTTTATTGAATCCGTTTTTCCACAGAAAATGTTGTGGTTTTTTTCTTACTTGGTGTTTGGTCTGAGGAAGAGCAGCTGAGATATTAATCTGACATTCCTCTGGTGGTTTATTTTGAACTCTGCGGGGATTTACCGGGAAGAGAACAGGCTTCAACTCGGGTAGAGAAGCAAGTGTAAAGAGTCGTGTTCATAAAAAAAACGTTAGAACAACCTCGAAAAGCACAGAGGCTTTTTGAGCTAATTTCAAAACAAATAACTAGAAGAGAAATAGCAGAATATTCAGTCGATGTATGTATATTTCACACAGCATTTTACAGGTATTTCTGTCTTGATTTGATCTCATATCTATTCTTAGATTTCATTTGGAGCTGGGCTTGTTTAATCCTCCAATAACGCGGCTTTGTTTATGATGTTAACCTGAGAAAATTAGCAAAATGAAGGCCTTCAAACTAAGATGCATATGATAATTAATGTAAGGTAATTAAATCTACATGATAACATCAATACTAGGGCCCCGTCCACACGGAGACGAAACGGGTGTTATCCGCTATAGTTCTTTATCATATGGACGGTTCGTTCACACGAGGCCGTAACGGAGCCCTCAAACGATAACGCATCCCAAAGTGGGAAGGTCTGGTAACGTAACGCTTGCGGCACCGTGTGTACGCCATAAACAATCATAGCCCCGCCTCTCCCCACCTCTCCTGCTCACCCCCGCGTCACCCGCGTCATTGCTGATGCGTTTCGCCAACAACAACAACAATGGCGGATCACATGGTTGCGTTCGTGCTCCAGACGCTACTGACCATGCTACAGATGTTAGTGCAACATCTACAGCTCCTCTACCACAACCATCAGCAACAAGTGGACATGGAGAACTACATGAACTACATGTTGCTAAATCCACCACGGAGAATAACCAGAAGGGCAACCAGGCAACCATGGCAACCAGGCAACCATGCTCGGGGGGTCTTCTTCGCTGCTTTTGGTGTATTTTGTAGCGGAAGTACAGCGCCACTTACAGACCCGGCATATGTACTACAGCGTCTCCAGCGGGTCGAGCGGTCTCGTGTGGACGGACACGTTTCTTGAGCCGATTCCGTGTGGACGGAAGATTTTTTTGATATCGAATTCGGTTCGTTTTCGTTTTCGTCTCCGTGTGGCCGGAGCCTAAGTGAGCACGACCTCATGAGCAAATGACATACAAGCAAAGAAGCTAACAGAATTAGCATAGAAATGTGCAAAAAGCAGTCAGAGAGTCGAGCATACTTCTGTTGACAGATATTAAAGAGGCCATATTATCAATGTTTCACCTCTGTATAGTTATTTTGTCCTTAAGTCTGAGGCACTATGTAGAAAAGTGCTTTATACAATTTACTTACAAATACTTAACACCATTTATGAAATACCACGTACAGTCACAGTGCATTAACCCTTCTTTTTATTTTCAATTTTTTTATTTTTCAGAGAGAGACAAAGAGTACCAGTGGATCGGACTGAACGACCGAACCATCGAGGGAGACTTCCGCTGGTCGGACGGGAACCCTCTGGTACTTCTGTCTGTTCTATAGGTTTTAGTGCACGTAAATGGTCTGCAAAGGTTAAAATCTCTGTGAAACATGTCACAGTAGAGGCACTAAATCAGGGGTGTCCAAACTTTTTTCACCGAAGGCCAACAAAATACATGAAGGACTGGGCCCCTCACTAGAGGTATACTGCCTCATAAGTTCAGTTATAAGTTAGCAAAATCAATCAAATGTAGGTACATGATGCTTGTGAGTGTTGGCAGCTCATCCCTTTAAACAGAAGCCTCAGAGTGATTATAATAAGATGAAATATGAAGGGTTTATTTCAAGCTTGATATGTAAACCGGTCATTTCTTATCGACTAAGATATGCTAGAAAATGTTTCCAACTTTAACTGACTGATTTATTTGAAAAGTGGTCTTATTAACACATGAATACTACTGTAATATATGTTTACATTTATATTTAAGAAGTACAATATAAGACAAGCACAAGTTTCATTTGTGGGCCGTACTCCATTATACTTTTTGCTGAAGGCCGATTATAGCGGCACAAACTCCCTATGAGTTAGCCGCTGAGAGGCTAACATGTGCTCTTTGCTGTGACGCGTTCGGTGTAAGAGTCCGTAGTCATTTGTAGTCCATGGTGTTTAATAGAGACGAAAACAAACAATATACAACTCCAGACCACACGGTCAACAGAAAGTATCAGAGCAATTCACCCTCTTCCTACATCATATCCTCCAAACAGGTGACCTAAATACCAATAAACCACACCCACGTGACCATTGCCGGAAGTGATAAACAATAAGAATTAAACGTGAAGCAAACAGAAATGAAGATAATAATAGAAGTAATAAGTAATGGCAAAACAAGCATTTTGGCTCCTACACCGATTCAAAATGGTCCACGGGCCGCATTTGGCCCCCTGGCCGTAGTTTGGACACCCCGGCACTAAATACTAATATGAACCTGAAAATGAGCTTAATAGGGCCCCTTTAAATGTAATATGAACGTTTTGAATGTTTTGTTCTGTATTACCGAGTTGAAACTTGCTATATAAATAAACATGCCTTGCCTTTTGTGATGAAAAGGATGGAAACATGTGGTGAGGCAGCTTTCATTAACTACGCCCCAAAGCCATGGAACAAAATACCTATTATATATATATATTTGTAATGATATACAGACATCAGGGAAGCCAGCTCGGTGGAAGTCTTTAAAAAAAACACTCAAAACACATTTGTACAATTGAGCCTTTTAGGAAGCTCCTGCTCTCTGCTGCACTTTCTCCATGCACTCCGATGCATTTTAACCTGTCATCTGATTGTTGAATTTGCACTATCCTCCTTTTAATGCACAATTTCATCGTTTAATCTAAATGTAATTGGTATCTACTCTATGCTATTTTTAGTTTGTTTTGATGTCTTTTACTGGTAACTGTATTCTGTGTGATATCAATTTTCAGTGAAATGTCTAAGTGAAGCACTTTGGACTGCACTTATTGTATGAAAGGTGCTATACAAATAAAGAGTATTATTATTATTTAGAGGCACAAAAAAAACCTCATACACCTGAAAATGAGCAGAATATTCAATCCTGAATGCAGGCCTTTAACTCGTAACAGAGTTTTTTTACAACGTGGTATTGCTACTCTTCCTTGAGGAAAGCAAAAGTACTTCTTTCTGATTTGATGAGTTCATTATTTATTCTTTTCCTCAGCTGTATGAGAACTGGTTCGCGGGTCAGCCCGACAGCTACTTCCTGTCCGGGGAGGATTGCGTGGTGATGGTGTGGCACGACGGCGGCCGCTGGAGCGACGTTCCCTGCAACTACCACCTGTCCTACACCTGCAAGAAGAGCGCCTGTGAGTCGCCTTAAAATACTGTGCACAAAAAACAATGGCTCCCAAAAGAGGAGCGCTTCTGCCCCCAAATGTAGTTACTGAGCCACAGAGGTGGGAAGTCGTGGAGTACAAATACTTCAAAGTCAACTTCATTGTCAATCTTTCAGTTTGTGTGTACAGACAGAGAGATCGAAATAACGTTTCCCACAATCCTGAATACAAAAACAAATACATATAAAAAATATGTATGCAAATATGTATATATAATCAAAAAATACATTTATACATGTGCACGCATTAGGCCTAATGAAAAGCACAACAATCAATAGATACAAAATAGCAGTCACTTCAATATCTTTGAGAAATGTGCATTAGTGCAAGACTGTCCATAGCAGCGTAAAAAAGTGTCTGGTGCTGGATTTGAGTGTCTGAGGAGTTAAAGTCCACACACACAGACACTTCGTTACTGTACTTAAGTACATTTTTCTGTTATCAGTACTTTACTCCACTACTTATTACTCTGACTTCTTACATTTTGAACACAAATACCTGTACTTTCTACTTCTTACATTTTGAACACAAATACCTGTACTTTCTACTTGTTACATGTTGAACCCAAATACCTGTACTTTCTACTTCTTACATGTTGAACACAAATACCTGTACTTTCTACTTCTTACATGTTGAACACAAATACCTGAACTTTCTACTTCTCACATGTTGAACACAAATACCTGAACTTTCTACTTCTCACATTTTCCAAACCGGCTGGTTCCTTTAGTTTGAATGTGTGTTTGGTGGCGTGATCATTATTATTTAGAGTCATTGCGTGCCTATTGATTTGAACACGATCCGTGTATCCATCATTTCCTGGTCTTCTCTAAAGAAGAGGGACCAATGAAAACGTTGTCATGTTGCCGTTGTTCAGCATGGAAACATTCATTAGCTAACAATGACATTATTGTTCTATTAATATAAAGGGAGGTCAGGTACTCTTTAAAACAGCTGCTAGTTATGGGTACTTTTCACTGAAGTACATTTCAAAGCCCTCTTTACTTTGACTTGAGTAAAGAAGTTTAGTCAGTACTTCTACTTTTACCAGAGTATTTTTAAACACCAGTATCTGTACTTCTACTTGAGTAAAGGATGTGTGTACTTCTACTTGAGTAAAGGATGTGTGTACTTCTACCCTCTCTGCTGAGCCACCTCCCCATGTTTCTCTCTGTCAGCGTCCTGTGGCGAGCCGCCCAGAGTTCCCGGTGCTAAGGTGTTCGGGAAGAAGCGTTTGCGTTTCGAGACGAACTCCAGGGTGCGGTACTACTGTGAGGACGGCTTCCTGCAGAAACTCAACCCCGTGATCAGCTGTCTGCCCAGCGGCCAATGGGAGGAGCCGCTGATCACCTGCATTCAAGGTAAGTGCAATACCTTTAAATATATCTTTATTTGGTTTTTAACACAAACAATCACATATTGATAACATCAATTCAGAAGTATGCTTTTTTGAGGAGGATTTACTGTATACTGCAAAAGTAGAAAACTTGTCAAAATGACCAAAACTAAAACATGACCTCATATAAATCACTGGGAAAACAACTTAAATGGTATGTTCCTCTAGCACAAAATGATCTACAATAACTATACCCTACATTTGATGGCATGGCTCTTCAATTACATCATTTTGTTTAACATAACATCACAATCACTGTAGATGGTATGTTCAAGACCCTCTAGCTTTTTGTAGAGGGAACCAGGGAGATGCTGCCTTCAGGGTCCAACACAGAAATACGACATCCCTGCACCACTCTAACAATGCTAAATCAGTGGAGTATTAGGTCACTTATTATGCAAAATCCTCTTCTTCATGTCTCTTCTACATCAACATGTGTCCCCTCTTCCTCATGTCTCTTCTACATCAACATGTGTCCCCTCTTCTTCATGTCTCTTCTACATCAACATGTGTCCCCTCTTCTTCATGTCTCTTCTACATCAACATGTGTCCCCTCTTCTTCATGTCTCTTCTACATCAACATGTGTCCCCCTCTTCTTCATGTCTCTTCTACATCAACATGTGTCCCCTCTTCTTCATGTCTCTTCTTCATCAACATGTGTCCCCTCTTCTTCATGTCTCTTCTACATCAACATGTGTCCCCTCTTCTTCATGTCTCTTCTACATCAACATGTGTCCCCTCTTCTTCATGTCTCTTCTACATCAACATGTGTCCCCTCTTCTTCATGTCTCTTCTTCATCAACATGTGTCCCCTCTTCTTCATGTCTCTTCTGCATCAACATGTGTCCCCTCTTCTTCATGTCTCTTCTACATCAACATGTGTCCCCTCTTCTTCATGTCTCTTCTACATCACCATGTGTCCCCTCTTCTTCATGTCTCTTCTACATCAACATGTGTCCCCTCTTCTTCATGTCTCTTCTACATCAACATGTGTCCCCTCTTCTTCATGTCTCTTCTACATCAACATGTGTCCCCTCTTCTTCATGTCTCTTCTGCATCAACATGTGTCCCCTCTTCTTCATGTCTCTTCTACATCAACATGTGTCCCCTCTTCTTCATGTCTCTTCTACATCAACATGTGTCCCCTCTTCTTCATGTCTCTTCTTCATCACCATGTGTCCCCTCTTCTTCATGTCTCTTCTGCATCAACATGTGTCCCCTCTTCTTCATGTCTCTTCTACATCAACATGTGTCCCCTCTTCTTCATGTCTCTTCTACATCAACATGTGTCCCCTCTTCTTCATGTCTCTTCTTCATCACCATGTGTCCCCTCTTCTTCATGTCTCTTCTACATCAACATGTGTCCCCTCTTCTTCATGTCTCTTCTTCATCACCATGTGTCCCCTCTGTGTAAAGAGACTCTGAAAGTTTCAGGAACAAAGCTTCTCTCTCTTTTTGATCCATTTATATAAAATCCTGTCTGAAAATGAGCTGATCAGATTTTGGCCACTTTATGATGTCATAACGATGTTTTTGGCTTGTGTAACCATTAGCCAATCAGCAATCAAGGTAACCCCCCCCCCCACCTTATCACCTGAATCTCCTCCTAGAGCACCATTAGCCGCGTTCACACCGGAGTACTTTTCCCCGTACTTTTCGCGTTTAGTTCCGCTAGTACCCCTTATGTCGCGTTCACACCAAAAAGAGAACTTAATCTCGGGAACTTTTACCCCCATTTTTAGTGCCTGCTGAGAGATCGTACTTTCCTGGGGGAAAAAAGTGCCCCAGTTCTGATTGGCTGAGCGAATTGCAAACCACGCCCCGTACAACTCTGAAATGTTTTGTAGAGCCGCCATTGTATTATCCTCGCATTAGCATTATTAGCATTAGCATTCGCCCAGCGCACAAACGCAGAGAGACTAACTTATGGCAACACAAAACAAAACATGGGAGCGGTGGAGATGAGGAGGTGTCGGCGTTCTGGCGATTTACTCGGAAGGCTTCAGTAGAAGCTGCTGGGAGTCCCAGCAGCTTCTACTGAAGCCAGTCCCCAACTCCGGGGACTTCCGGCCGGGGACTCCGGGTGGCAGTATACGATGTGAAGTGGTTTGCTGCCTGCCAGTAAACCCAAAGCAGAAGAAGACGTCAGCGGCTCATTTGCGTAATCTTCCCTCAGGGTAAAGTACTTCGGTGTGAACACGATCTGTACTAAGGCCCCGGCTCCACGAGGACGGAAACTGGTTGAATCCGCATATTTCTCATGCGTATAGCCCTCTAAGCTCCACGACGCCGTAAGGGAAACGTAGAAACAGACCCCGCAAACGACAATGGGTCCAAAGGTGGATAGATCTGGGAACTGAGCGCTCTGGGGGGTCCAACGGGGCCGTGGAGTCGCCTATACGGTCATTCGTTTTCATAGCCCCGCCTCTCCCTGCCTCTCCCCCGCGGGGTTGCTATCGTGCTCCAGTCGCTACTGACCATGCTACAGTTCTTTGTGCAACATCTACAGGAGCTCCTCCTTGAATTCAGATTATTTATCTTTATCTCGATATGGACATAAACGCGAGTGAAGTCTAATCTGACAGGACGGAGACACGCAGCTCCTGCCGCTGTGATGCAGCGGGAGCAAAACACACACTTCAAGTCAGATCATCACCCTTAGCTATTTTAATTACCTCTCAAACTAAACTAGTTATAAATATGTTCATTTTTACTGTCGGGTCACTCATTACAGGATCAGCTGCTGCATGAGACAGACACTGACGCTGTCAGAAGAGAGGAAAAAGAGATGTATTTGATGATTATATAACATTATATCGTCGTTATTCATTTGTTTTAAAGCTCAATAAATAACAATGAAGACCTTTGACCGGCACTTTTATAATTTTGTCCGGAAGATTTAAACTTTAACACACGCTGACCGGCGAAAAACTCTGCCCGGTTCTGTCGGCCCCCACCGCGGAGAATACACAGAAGTGCAGCCATGACAACCATTCTTCTTCGCTGCTTTTGTGGAGGAAGTTGCTGCTTTTGTGGAGGAAGTTACAGCGCCACGTACAGGTTCGGCATATGTACTGCAGCTTTTCCAGCGGTTGGATGTAAACGGAGCTGTCTCGTGGAGCTTGACACAATCCGGTGTATATTGCGTGGGGACGGAAGGTTTTTTGCGGTTGCATTTGCGTTACTCCGATGCGTTTTGCCGTATTTGTCCTCGTGGAGCCGGGGCCTAAATGCCCTGGGGTATTTAGTGCCGGGGCTCTGAGTGCCGGCACTAAATACGGCAAAGTACTTGGTGTGAACGCGGCCATTGAGTTCTTTGTAACCAAATCTCTCTCAGAGGGGCGTGGGGAGGGGCTCCTTATTTTCATCTAAAGTAACAGACAGAGAATCAGCACTTTGGAAACAGGGCTGAAACAGAGTGGATTATGGGATGCTGCAATGATCTGTTTGGTGTTTCAGCCAATCAGAGACAGGTTCTGGATATATCTGAGACCTGTGATATATTGATGAAAAACAGTATAATAGGGGACCTTTAGGACACTGGGATCGTTTTCAGAAAAGGTTCAGGAGCCCGGGATTATCTGGTTTATCTTTGTGTCCTTCCCTCCTAATGTACAATGCCATGTCTTTTTCTGCTGCTGCAACGCAAACATTTCCCAAATGTGGATCAATAAAGTACTTCTTATCTTACCTTTATCTTATCCAGCCCCTTCAAAGGAAGAAGACCCAGTGACATCACTTCCTGTGCGGCGTGTGGAGGTCACGGAGGTCCAGGAAACAGTCACAGAGAAAACTGTGTGGCTCTTCTAGGACATCAAGTGGGTCGGCTGAAGCCTTTGAAAAAAAAAAAAATCTTGTTTCCATATTTTATTTGGTCCTTAAAAGTCAATTCTCTGCATTAAAGTTAAACTGTATACGTCTAACCTTTAATATTAAAGTCATTTCGACGCCACCTGGAAAAGCTGTAATCCAAATGTGTGTTTTTCTGTCAAATCGAAATACTTTTGGTAAATGATGCAAGACGAAACCTTAAAAACAACCCGAGCTAAAATGCTAATGTATCTGTGCACAGGTGACATCTTTCTAAAGACTCTCCACTTCTTTTGGTGCTTTGTATTTCTCTATCTGTTTGCCAATATGAACTGTCAGTATGATGAGAAAGTTTAATTTAAAATGTGTAAATATTATCTACACAAAGACGCACATTTTTGGGGATCAATGGAGTAAAAAAACAAGTATTTCAATGATGCAAGGACATCTTATCTACGGTCTCTTTTCTAGTTTGTAGTACTGTAATACATACTTGTAACAATGCAGGTGGTGTTAATTGTTTATCTAATTAACGTAATAAATGTATAAGTAGAGATAATATAGTAAACATGAATACGATGAAAAAGGAGAAATAAAATGGATTTTTTTTTTAAAGTTAGTCAGATTTTTTACTGTTGAAAATGTCTTTTGATTAAATGTTTATAAAACTCTCTTCTGTATTATCTTGATCACATGACTGCTGTCTGATCAGATCTACAAAGGTTCAAATGATCAACTATTAGTTATTCAGTTCATTTATATTATACTCAAAATAAGTTCCTAGTCTTTAAAACTTCCAAACATCAAAATCTGAATCTTACACCTAAGTTTATATTTTTGTATTATTTGTGTTTCAGGTACATTTGGCTTCAGACTTTTTATCACATCTGATTTTGTTTCTTATTGAATACTTCGCAAACTATTTGAGAAGTAAAGTAAGTCCATATGGAGTTAACTGTTCACATTAGTTATTTTGTTATATAACCACAAGAGGTCGCCAAACAAGCAAAGTTACAATTATAACACACAGGCTTTAAACGTTTCTTCCATGCCCTCACTATAAGCAATCATAACTAAAGATTTAACCTGAGCATCAGCAGGAGAGGACTCTTTAAAGTAGAGACACTACATACTGATACACACCTGAACATCATCAGGAGAGGACTCTTTAAAGTAGAGACACTACATACTGATATACACCTGAACATCAGCAGGAGGACTCTTTAAAGTAGAGACACTACATACTGATATACACCTGAACATCAGCAGGAGAGGACTCTTTAAAGTAGAGACACTACATACTGATATACACCTGAACATCAGCAGGAGAGGACTCTTTAAAGTAGAGACACTACATACTGATATACACCTGAACATCAGCAGGAGAGGACTCTTTAAAGTAGAGACACTACATACTGATATACACCTGAACATCAGCAGGAGAGGACTCTTTAAAGTAGAGACACTACATACTGATATACACCTGAACATCAGCAGGAGAGGACTCTTTAAAGTAGAGACACTACATACTGATATACACCTGAACATCAGCAGGAGAGGACTCTTTAAAGTAGAGACACTACATACTGATATACACCTGAACATCAGCATGAGAGGACTCTTTAAAGTAGAGACACTACATACTGATATACACCTGAACATCAGCAGGAGAGGACTCTTTAAAGTAGAGACACTACATACTGATATACATCTGAACATCAGCAGGAGAGCACTCTTTAAAGTAGAGACACTGCATACTGATATACACCTGAACATCAGCAGGAGAGGACTCTTTAAAGTAGAGACACTACATACTGATATACACCTGAACATCAGCAGGAGAGGACTCTTTAAAGTAGAGACACTACATACTGATATACACCTGAACATCAGCATGAGAGGACTCTTTAAAGTAGAGACACTACATACTGATATACACCTGAACATCAGCAGGAGAGGACTCTTTAAAGTAGAGACACTACATACTGATATACATCTGAACATCAGCAGGAGAGCACTCTTTAAAGTAGAGACACTGCATACTGATATACACCTGAACATCAGCAGGAGGACTCTTTAAAGTAGAGACACTACATACTGATATACACCTGAACATCAGCAGGAGAGGACTCTTTAAAGTAGAGAACCTACATACTGATATACACCTGAACATCAGCAGGAGAGGACTCTTTAAAGTAGAGACACTATATACTGATATACACCTGAACATCAGCAGGAGAGGACTCTTTAAAGTAGAGACACTACATACTGATATAAACCTGGAAATGAGCAAAATATGTCCTCTTTAAATATTGCAAAAAATGTGTATGGGCAAATCAATACGCTGACAAGTGGACATATCTTTATTGAATACATTAAATAACATGTAATTAATTTACAGATAAACTGGTACATCCTGTTATTTACAGTTCAGAGCTTTAGCTTCTTTGCTGGAGCTCGCAGGAAGCAGTTTGGTGTCATGTTACATGGACAAACATTTTAATTAAACACAAATGTTCACCTCGCTTTACTTGACTTTCCTTGACGTTCTGAAACGTTATTGTGCATAGCTATATTTTTATTCCATTTACCACATTTTGCAAGTGCGTTGGGAAGCCAGAGTGGTTTGTGGTTCCCTGAATATACGACTGTTTTACTTACCAATTAACAACAAAATGTCTCCAATGTTTTCCTCTCAGGCTAAGGAAAAGCATCCAGGAAGAAACAATGTCTCATTATAACTCAGTTTGACATGAGTTATGTTTAAATCAAATTGATGTCAAAAGCTCCATCAACGGGTGTTCAGCCCAATAGTTTGTGTCTCGTGTTATTGAAAAATAAGATCTTTCTGCACCCTGAATTGTTTTTGTTGTTCACTTTAAGAGATGTTAAGATCAGGAGGGCACAAACCAAGTTTCATGTAAATGGGGCCTTTTGGTGCAAACACTTTATCAGCCCAAAACATTTCCATTAGGTTTTACCAACTTGAGGAAAAACGTGCAGCATTTACTTAAAGGTCCCATGTCATGCTTTTCCGGTTATTACCCGTCCCCTTGTGTGTTATGAAGGTTTTTCTGCATGTAAACGGTCTGCAGAGTCACAAACCCTCAAAGTACACCCTGCAGCGAGTAAAACTCTAACACAGAAAAGATCTGTCTATGCTGCCCCAGAACGCCTCGTTGGAGATTTCTCTTTTTCTTCCTGGTACTAAGTGACGTAACGACCACCCAAATGGACCCATTGGTCAAAATGGACCAATCCGCGGAGCCGTTACGTTACGTCCGCGGAGCCGTTACGTTAAGTCCGTGGATTGGTCCAAATGGACCAATCCACGGACTTCCTCACACACACACACTCAATCTTTTCTCAGCTGCAGCTCCGCCGATTTCTCCTCCCTGAGACGGTGGGACGCGGCGAGGCTGTGAGTCGGTGTGTGAGCACACACACAAACTCCCAGCCAGGCTGCGGGTGTGTGTGTGTGTTCGGGCTGGTTTCGGGCTGGGTTTCGCTGTGTCTCGCTGTCTCGCAGATGGCCACTGGGCTCACAGGGAGGGGGGGGGGGGGGGGGGCAGGAGCTCCAACAAGCCATTTAGGACAGAGAGTGAATACACATACTATACAGAGATGCTGTATGAGAAACCAATGTGATTTTGGAACATTGCACAATAGAAATCTATTCTAGTAGACCTCAACAATGGAATTATGATCAGTAGAAATGGCCATGACATGGGACCTTTAAAGCTGAAACGCTTAAACGCTGCAAATACAAAACGCTGCAAAAATCTCAAAACACAACGGAAACCAGGGGACACTAAAAAGTGAAGCACACAGCGCTTGGTGACGTTCAGGATTATAAAGCTGGACAACTGTCTCTGTTGTTGGAAACATACCTAAAAAAAAAATGTATGGACTTATTTTAACAATGTGATCACATGACTCCTTCTGATGTTACTGCAGATCTGCTGTAAGCTAGCTAGCTAACGTAGCTAACCTAGTCATTTAAGATATACTGACAAACACTTACAGTTATGAGACAGACTCACTCTGCAACAGAGACAGTTGTTCAGCTTTATAATCCACTAAGTGGAAGTGGAAGTGTTTTGGTTTGTTGTAGCACCGGCCACCATACTTAAAAAGAAAATTAAACTAGATTAAATAATGACTTTTTCATTTTTAAAGACATTAACATTTGAATTCAACCTCATATTTCTCCATTACTGTTCGTATCATCGTAGCTGAGATCTTTCTCAGGACATTTTGTTGGCAGATCAATTTAAGCTTAGCAGTGAATTCTGGGACATGTTTTCCTGCTTAAACTCGATCTCTAAGTTGCCCTGCTGTCGAATTTCTTCTTATTTTCGGGCTACATGTAGCAATAGGCTCCAAACAGAGGCTTCATCTTGTTGGGGAATCCGAACGAGCGCACCCCGGCTTCAGGGATTCCTCCGCAGAGTTCCCGGGGGTTGCTGATGGGAAACCGTACGCTGCCGTCTCTCAGCCATCCGCCGTCACACTGGTCGTAGTTTTGGAAACGCCAGGCGGAGTAAAGATGGCCGACCAGCGCCAACTCCGCTCCCTGACGCTGACATGCGTGCCCGGCCTGTTCGAAGGAGAAAGACCCCGAGACGAAGGAGACGGAGCCTGAGAGAGGAGATAAGATAGATGGATAGATAGATAGATACTTTGTTGATCCCAATTTGTGAAATTATTTTATAAGAGAGCTTTAATCCAGAGAACGTTAGCTACCACAACCTGTATGTCTTTATGGTCCTGCAGAAAGCTCTAACAATGTTTAAAAAGAGGATAGAAGCACCACAATGTCCATGTTCATTGGCCATTTATTTGAAAGAAATCCTGTCAACCACTTGAATTTTCGAAAATGCGGACGTCATTTCCAGCCGAGGAAACAGTATTTTCCCACAGAATTTAACCCACTGGATCAATTTCAGGGATTTGGATATTGAATTATATGTTTTTGACTATGGGGAAATCCAATTCAATACTAAGAAACTTCTTCAGAGATTTCTCTGTCATTTTTAACACAACTTGATAAACTGTGGGGCTTATTAGAAAGCATTTGGTACACGAAACCACACTCTACTGATACTAGTCTTCTATCAGAATTAGTAAACCGACACCGAAACTTGGTTCATTTCATGCAATTTGGTCGGATTATTTTCTCACTGCAATGAAACACCACTCTGGTTTATTTGGAAACGGTCCAAGACCAACTCACACAACCTGTCTCGGACCATTTTCTTTGGTCTGCATCGATGCACGATTATTGAGTTCAAAACCACCCAAACGAGCCGCACCAGATATCAATTGAAACTAAATATTGGTTTGTGAAACGCCCTTAAAAGTCCCATTTGCTTCAGGCTTTCCAAACCAGACAAAACCTTGATCTTTGTTGGGAAAATACTGAATGAACTCTTCCAATATTTGGGTATCACATGATAACAAAGGTATCCCAACTGTAGCTGTGTACATGACAGGATGTATGAGTACCTAGAAGAGCATCAGGACTGTTTGAGGCATATGATAGCTATGTGATTAACATGATGATTCAGCCTCTATGGAGATAGACATATGACAAGCATGCTCATTTCTGACGTGGAGCTAATCTGAAGTAAACATTGAATACTGCTTTCTATTCCTCCATCTTGTGACTGTGTAACTCCCTCTCTTGGATATCAGCATGTGAAGGACA